CATTTCACATAGCCTCGAGTTGTATAAAAATAATTTTCCTTCGCATCTTCCATTTTCCACGGTGTTAGTCCTTCCATAATTAAACGCTTTGTTTATTTAATTGTACCGTCGAGATGATATTACGTAGGTTTAAAGGAGCGGAACAAAAGCGTCAAATCCAATCGCATTCATTTATGGCCATAATATAAAGAACAAAGATCTGAAGTCCACGCGACTAGATGTTTGATACCTTCCTCGGTAAAGTAAAATGGAAATCTTTTGTGATAAGAAAAATCGTAACGCGAGTCTAAATCCTCGCATAAATCAAATGTCACAAAAACTTAGCCATTTGACTTATTACTTTTTGACCTTTGCAGATTTTACCTATGATATGTACGATATGTTATGTGAGTTTAATTCATGCAATAGAATACCTTATTCATATTTTTCAATTTTACGACCAAAATACTAATAATACTTGCGGGATAGAAAAAAAAATCAAGTAGATTTTTCTAACTTGTACTTGTTAACATGGCAACTCTTATGGTATTACAAGGCAATGTTTACACTAGTATTAAAGTTAGAATCTGTTGTTTGCAAATTGTCGCCTTAGAGTTTATTTGTTCAAACTACCAATACTTGTGTGTTTTTTTCCTTAATTTTAAAAACAAAGCTTAATATCTAAGATTTATATACGTATATAAATGAAACACATTCTGTTCGGCTGTTTAAAGTAAAATGTATATTTTTTACATTACATTTAAAAGTCAATAATTTTAAAACAAATACACATTTTGAAAATTTAAAGTGTATACGATATAGAAAACGTATAGTTTTGTTATTATTAAAAAACTGATGAACTTCCTTGAATTATTTACGCCGTACTAAGGGTTAATTTTGTTTTCTAGAGATCATTTTGGTTTTTTTTTCTATCGAGGAAACTACAAGCAATAGTGTTTCTAAAGTGTACGATTTATAGAATAAATCCTTAAATATCCTACATATTACTTGCATAATTAAAGTTTTAGTAATAACAATACAGCAAGGGATCAAACGAACGCAATCATTTCGTAATTGCCTCAGTGCGCCCTTAATACGAGAATGGTAATAATAATTAATGGCACACAATACTAATACATTATATACGTTTATTTAACTACCTGTACCGACATAAGTTATCCCGTCCAAATTTCGTTTTAGTGATCTTTGACAGTTTGCAATAAATTGGTTTGTAATTTTTGAGTTTAAGCAAAAATCCCAATTATCCGGACATGTTTTTTAAATTTTTTACCCTAAGAACCTTATTCGGGCTATTAAGAACATTTTAGAAAATATGTAAATGAATAAATAAATAAATAGGTTGGAACATTAACACACATCACCATCTAGTTCCATGATAAGCTCGTGCTTCATGATGTGAAGCTTGTGTTATGGATACCAGATAGCTAATACACTATACATATGTATATAACTTTAAATACATACATATTATAAATAGAAATACCCATGACTGGAGTACAAATATTCGTGCTCGTCACATAAATAAATGCCCCCAGCGGGCCTCGAACCCGCGACCGCTTGCCACGGCAAGTAGGGTCACTAAAAACTGAGCCAAACATGTGGTAAAGCGTGAGCTTACTACTTTAATTTATAAATATAAAGCAAGCCTGAATTATTGCCTCTTATTTTTGTAAATTGAAAGAATGAAAATTAAAGGACGCGATACAATTATGTACGTTAATTCGACACGCAATTAAATATTTTTACACGTTAACATTTTCCTCGTCGGAATGAAATTAATTATCTCTTTCATTTGGATACGTTTCCCTTTTTTTATGATTTCTTTGACATACTCTCTTTGATATGTACCTGCTGGTTGTGATAATTTAATTTAATACAGTTATATTCAAACCTTATATTTGAAGTTTAACGTTTTTTAATTTCTAAGATAATAATAATTATTATTCATAGAAATTAAAAAACATCCAAATTTCAATAGGAAAGATGGCTACGTACTACCATCGTCATGGGATCCTGTTATTAATATAATAAAATCAACTAATAAATCTAAACATAACAGACAGGTAGTAAGTTCTTACTGTGTAGATCAAAATGACAGCATATCAGATTAATATTTTTCATTATTCATTTGTAAAAATAGGTATATAGTAATAGTATTGCTTAGTAATTTGTCTTTTTAAATAATAGCAAACTAAATTAAAATTATTATCCTTAATTATTTTACCTTTTTAAATTACACATAGAACAATTATATGGCTTAAATAATTAATACTATATTTTATATTTTTCTTTATGGTTATAAATATAATAATGGCAACACTAAATATAGATTACTAAATAATATTTTTAAAATTGTAATAATTATAATAATAACAGCAAAAATTAAATAAATAATATTCCATATTCAATTATAAAACTAATTAAAATTATAAAAATGTTTAAAGTTAAAAAATATTGTGAGGTAATTGGTGCAATTTTCATTTTGTTATTTGTGGGTAGGCTGTCTGTAATAACTATACCTTCGAGACGTCTAACACCTCAGTCTCTCCCGTGACCATGAATGCTGTAAAGCATTCGAAACGTCGGGAACCAAAAATCCAAATAAATCCGCGAAAAAATCCGAAAAGATAGTTTTATTTAAAATGTCAAATATTCGCGTAAATCTAAGAAAGTATTATATTGTATTACTTAAAATATGTTCTCATGACAAAGTATATTTTTTAATCTAAATATCTATAAAAAACAGTGCTAAAATTCACAATTACGAAGTTGTTAATAGAACTAGCTGTTATATCTATACTATTTTTTTCTGCGTTCTGTTTGAAATGCATTAAACTGATTGCTCTCGGTCTTCTCGTGTTTTTCTTTTACTCGCCGTCAGCAAAATTAACTTTGCTTTTGAAATAAAATTCCTTCTTATTCTTTATTTTATATCTCGTTGGGCCCCATCCGTGAAGAGTCCCCGGGGGACACGCTCACGGGTTGTTTGTTACTGTTTATTATTTTTATAGAAGTCAAATCGCTTTAATTGAGTGGAACATTAATGGGTTCCTTTAATATTTACTTGGTATTTTCCTCTTAATAAACTTGCCTTGAATGACAATTTATTTATTATTGGCACAATATGATGACATCACAGTAATTACTTACTCATCAGAAACCACTGTATATATTTCTCAGAGATGAGATATTTTCCCGCAGTAAAAAGTATCCTATATGTTGACCCGGATATGTCGTCATACCAAATTTATCAAAATCCGTCCAGTAATTTTTCCGTGATGCGGTCACAGACAGACAGACATACAGACAGACAAAAATTCTAAGGACTATAGATTCGGCCTCTGTATCGATAATAATCTCTATTTCAATAAGATTTTTCAAAAAATATTTAATGTACAGATTCGACTTAGTTACAATTTTATTATATGTATAGATATACATAGATACAAAAGTACAAGTAATCTATACCACTCTCGGGCTCATAATAATTTTTTAACGAAAAATCGTAAATTGACGTCAATCTACTACTTTAATACTGCGCCATAATAGCTTAAGCCAAAATAAACACTTTACGATTATATAATATTTATAAATATAATAGAATAAAACAACATATTTCAGATTAACTAACAAACACACAGATTTTATTTAATATGAACAGTAATTATGCTAAAGATAGCGGGCGGGTTCCATTTCAGGTCAACTCGAAAACTCATTCAAACTACAAGGATCTCACTTACAGGAGGAAGTAACAAAATAGTTTTAATTAATTAAAATCATAGTTATCAGTCGTAACTTCTACCACAAAATTACTATAACTTCAACACATTATAGTGTACATTTAACGATGAATTGAAAGAATGAACCGATCAACGCATTTTCTTTTCTGAAAAGATCGGGCATTGTATCTGGTCTCATTTAGTACAAATTATTTATATATAGTAATAACAATCAAATTGTCCGAGCTTCGTAATTGGGGGCCGGCGACAGTCAAATATTCTGACAGGACCGCACTCTCTGTTACAAATGCCCGGCTCCCTTGTATTAAATAGCTCTCTTTGGCCCCTTCAATTACCTCACTGCCACTCAATCACCGATTTTATTTTTCTTACGAGCCATAATTGGTCATAGTTTCTCAAGACTTGCATGTTTTCCTTCACCGTAATAGCAAACGGTAATCATATTGAAAATGCTACTTCATATTGTGACGCGACGATTTGACGACACGTTTGGCTTAGTTTGTAGTGACCCTACTTATTGTACCAGCGGTCGCGGGTTCGATTCCCGCTGGGGGCATTTTTTGTGTGTGTGTGTGTGCACATTTTGTGTGATGACCATGAATGTCTGTACTCCAGTCATGGGTGTTTATATTTATAATATGTATGTATTTAAAGTTATATATGTGTACTGTATCAACTATCTGGTATCCATAACACAAGCTTCGTAGCTTACCATGGAACTAGATGGTGTTGTGTATGAATGTCCCAAAATATTATTTATATGAAAATTCCTACGATGCGTAATTTTATCACACATTGATTTGTGTTTGCTAACAGTTTTTATTTATATAAGGTATGTCTATTGACTAGAAGACCTAATCGATTCTCTCCTCTATCTGTCTTCTTATCCGTTATTAGCTGTGGAAGATAAGACAGAAAGCTACAAAGATATAGTATAATACTCGTAATAATAAACTTGCTTTACTATGTAAATATGTTAATTTTTATTTTTTAAATCCAGGATTGCTTGAAGAGTTACCAGGTTTCTTAAATGATGTTTTACTTTTTTTTATTTTGATGTAACAATTGTGATGTAAAGTATAGAAATAATCAGTCTTAAAACACAAAAGATCATTTATATAAATCGTGCTCTAAATTATATGAATACAAAAAATGTACCACGAAACGCGCGCTGAGAGAGGTTTGTAAGTTCGCACTTCCATAGTTATAAGTTTATTATTTATTGTTGCAGTGTTCCCGAATGTCCCGGCGGCGCCCGGGATGCCCTGCGCGGGGGAGGACCGTGAGTACTTCTTTGTTTTAATTTAATTGCATCGCAAACAGCACCCGTAATGAGCGCCATTACTCACTCATTGAACGTACGAAAATTGCTCTACGAAACTGCAGAGTAAATACTTTAAAGTGAAAAGGGTTTAAAACGTTGCCGTGTTATATTGTATTGTGTAATCGGAAATAAATGTTATATGAAACAGTTCGAATTTCATTACTGGATATGTGAAGACAGTTACATGGTAATTTTATAGAAATTGTTACAATTATGAAGTAGGTTTAAGCTTATTAATGCCTGTTGTTAGATACACGTTTATATTTAATTTCATTGCAAAGAACACTCTAATTGGTAACTGAATGGACGATAATAGGTTTTCTATTATATTATTAGTTAAAGCATTATTTATCTATACATATAATAAAATTGTAACAAAGCCGAATCTGTACATTAAATATTTTTTGGAAAATCTTATTGCAATAGACATTATTATCGATACAGATGCCGAATCTATAGTTTTTAGAATTTTTGTCTGTCTGTCTGTTTGTTACCGCATCACGGAAAAATCACTGGAGGGATTTTGATGACATTTAGTATGATGCTAGCTGGTTATCCGGGTCAACATATATACTTTTTACCGCGGGAAAATATCTCATTTCTGAGAAAAAATACAAAAATTGCAATGTATAAATATACTAATATGTAAAACCTTAGAATTTGGATTTTGGTCAACTGAACGCGGGCGGAGCCGCGGGCAATGCTAGTATATACTAAATAGACGTTTGATATATACTGAAAAGAGTTCACACATATTGTTGTATCGAGGAAGATACGAAACCGCTCTACAAATTTAAGAATTCAAGGTTCAAAATATTTACCTTTAAAATTTCACCCGCAATTTCAAAACAACGACACGTAGGCTCGATGATTTTTACAAAAACACCAACGCTTTGAACATAAACGTTTCGTATCTCGTATCATAACGCTCGGAGAGTGCTCAAACAATCTACACGAGACCGCCCGTCGCATTAGCATCTGAATATCGCCCCTACATGCCCCGCGATCGTTCCTACCCTCAATTTGGCTACGACACACATATTGTTGCACATCACAAGGAATATTTTCCCTTGAAACAAACTAAGTGGAATAATTCAGGTATACATACGTATTTATTATTTAAAGGTATGTATAGACTGTCGCTGTTTCTAGGTCAAAGTCAACGAACGCCCCCTGAATAATATAATGATTGCTCACATATTAATGCTCTTATATAGTCTTACAGGGGTCGATTGCTTGGAGATATGCTATTGTGATTCTCAACGAAGATGTTCATAATTGAAAACGTGCTTATTTATTTACACCTTAGATATACCTAAGATAGAAATAACAAAATGTAATTTTTTTTTTTAATTTTAAATGATTCTACCGTAATTATTGGACGGTTTCTCTCAAATATTGAGCTATAAATCTATACATATAATAAAATTCTAACTGAGACAAATATGTACATTAAATATTTTTCAGAAAATCTTATTGACATAGGCATTATTATCGATGTAGAGGCCGTATCTATAGTTTTTAGAATTTTTGTCTATCTGTCTGTCTGTTTGTCTGTTACCGCATCACAGGAAAACCACCGGAGGGATTTTGATGAAATTTAGTATGGTGATAGCTGGTTATCCGGGTCAACATATAGGATACTTTTTACCGCGGGAAAATTTCTCATTTTTGAGAAAAAATACAAAAATTGCAATGTAAGAGTATATTAATATGTAAAACCTAAGAATTTGGTTTTTGTTCATCTGAACGCGGGCGGAGCCGCGGGCATTGCTAGTATATAATGAAATGCCACTGCGGCAAAAGTACGTTAGATTATTTGTAGGAAATAAACGTATTTGGGTATGTTTAGTAGATATAATAGAAGCAAAATTCTAACGAAACTCAAACTTGCTCTAAGAAAACTTGAAAGCTCGTTACCAAGAGGCAAAGTACGAAACTTTATTCGAGTTCGTCAAATTGACAGTGAACGATATGCAGAAGTGCATTCTCTCATACAATTCATTCTTAGTAAATAATACAGGAAATGTTCAATATAATACAGTATTACTCGTATATCGCCATAGCCCATAGCTTAGGTTAATACTTGCTTTGGCTTTACATGCGCGTATATTACGCGTATATTATTTATTATTTCTTCTGTTCTCTTTGTATCTTTTCAAAATATTGCCAAAATTAAAACTGTTTAGCAATCAGTATTAATCAGACATATGTAGTGACTTTGAGAATAACATTAGTATGAATTACAAAGCATTCTTCTCCATTCTACGTGACATAGACGAAGTAATTTGTGTTCAACTGGCACGCTTTGAAGCCATTAATAAGAAAATTGAATTGAATTGAATTACGAAGCATGTGAATTGTGACAGTATTCTCTTAGACTCAATTTTTTATGATAATATTTTTTTTTATTTTATAATAAAACTAGCGACTCACCCTCGCTCCGCTCGGGTTCGTCCCTAACGTAGGCCACCCTTATCACTTAGGGGTATGGAAAATAGATAGTAGCCGATTCTCAGACCTACTGAATACGCATATAAAATTTGGTAAAAATCGGTAAAGCTGTTTCGGAGGAGTACGGTAACTAACATTGTGACATGGAAATTGTATATATTAGATAAAAGGTTTTAAATTCAAACCACTTTAGAAACAGTTTTAATGCTCCACAATTAACTATTATAGTTCAAATTGAATTCATAAATGATAACAATAAACATTGAATTATGCGATAATCCAAAGATTCCAAATTATATATAAGTACATTATATAACTTCTAATATATAAAATTCTCGAGTCACAGTGTTTGTAACAAAATTCCTCTGAAACGGCTTGACCGATTCTTATGAAATATGAAATTTTGTGTGTATATTCAGTAGATCTGAAAATAGGACGTAAACTATTTTTTACTCTTTCACTTTTTCTAAACCCACCCTAGGGACGAACCCGAGCAGTGCGAGGGTAAATCGCTAGTAAATTATATATACGTAAGTATTACATTGATTGAGATTGAACTTATGGGGATTAGTAATAAAATAATGAGCAATCATTCATAATTAGAAAAGATTCATACGTTTTCGCTTAGCCGGAATAAATGATAGTCGATCGTGGAAAGCCGTGTCGATAAGATAGCGATAAGGCGAAATCGGTAGTCGATACCATGCGTCGCTCCTTCCATGTCTTGTTCTTTGAATTTGGTGACACTCTTCACTTCAGGTGCTTTTTTTAATTTATTATAACAAATATAAGATTAAATAACGCAGTATTCTCACGAATTTCTGGTATTTTCTATCGATTGACATGGCATTTTTCGTAGATTTTATGTGTAGATTTGTGTTATCGGTGTGTTCAAAATTTACTGACCTATTTAGTATATCATATCAGGTAGGTTATGACATGTATTCAAAGTCGTTATTATCAATATAAAATATTTTTTAAATATATTTATAATATAAAATTTTATGACATTTTGGTATTTCATATTAAAATCTAATAATACGTAAATCATGCTTTCTTTACATAATAAGTAATGAGTAGGTAGGTACTAAGTTCTGAAAAAATAGTAAAAAAAACAAAAACTATATTCTTTTTAGTATATAATAACATTAAATTATGTAAAACAAGTTGTTGTCTGTCACAATAGCAGATTATGAGAGATTGTAGAAATGTTTGGTTTACGTTTGCAGGCAGCATCTACAGGCGAGGCGCTCGACGGTGGCGGAAGCTCTACCGAGTTAATGGACACATATTTCAAGCAAAACGCTTTAATAGAGTTAGTATCTATAAAGTTATCTCTTAACATATTTATTTGCCACATTTATCATTTTTAATAGCAGAAAAAATATAAAATATTCATTCAACTTATGAATAAATATTGTAAATTTTCGTGTTTTTTTGTACACATTTGTTCTCTCATGAAGGTGAATGTTACTTAAATTAATACGACCAAATATGTGGTGTTTGTTTATTTAAACTAATCACCTTCACAAATAATAACTCAACTTTATCATAATGAAATACGTAGTGGTTATTTTGCCACGAATAGCTATGTTAAAATATTATTTCAAAAAATTTAAAGTAATTGTAAAACTAAAATATCTGATTCCTTTCTTCCAGCGCGCCTTTTGTGCCTTTTGTCAAGATCGTATCTGGGGTTTGGGCCGGCAAGGTTTTAAATGTATCCAGTGTAAGTTACTAGTGCATAAGAAATGCCACAAGCTGGTGCAAAAGCCTTGTTCCAATGAACACGTTGATCCTATCGAAGTTAAGGATGACGCGAATGGAGAGAGCACTCTCGGCAGGGCCTCTTCTGTTCGGTAAGTATTGCTAGTGATTTTAATTATACGGTAATATATAATGCTCATGATCTTTGCTTATACTTATTATATTCTTCTCGAACCAGTATTTAGTACTAGAAGTAAAACTTACCCTAAAGACTGTACAATGTAAATATATATAACTTTTCAGTCCAAAAAATATTTTGTTGTATTGCAGCTGTCTACTATCAGATATAAACTTTTGTACTGAAATTAGGCATTATTTATTATTGAAGCCTATATTATTCTTAAATTATACCTTTTTTTTCGTTATTTTTTGTCATATAACAATAGGTTTTAAATAACAACAAGATAAGAAAAAGTTCTAATTTGGTATCTTCTTTAAATTTAACGACAGCTCGCATGGGCATATTAGAAAAATGCTGGTCAGTTTTTTTCTAGAAAATCTTCTCTTTGGTGCCACGAATAGCTATTTCTTAATCAAAAGTTGTCTGCGACCTTTGTGGAAAGCATTTTCCAATGATATAAATAGTTTTAGGGGTTAGCAGAACTCGGCGTTTAAATACAAACATATCAAATGTATCAAATCAGGACTGTCCTTGACCTTTTATAGCGAAAGCCTCTTGTCATATATGTTTGTACCTATATGGACTGGTATATGGTTATGTATATATTTTATCTAAGAATTCACCTGTTGTATCGGTCAAATTGATTTGTTGCTGCCATGCTGCTATATTAGATAACTAAAGATAGGAATAATACGAATACTAGTTAAAATAATAATTTACGTCGAAGTGTGAAGTTATTTATCATATTCAAAATAATAATATTTAAATACATACATTATAAATATAAACACCCATAACTGGAGTACAAACATTCGTGCTCATCAAACAAATAAATGCCCCCAGCGGGACTCGAACCCACGACCGCTGGCACAGCAAGTAGGTTCACTACAAACTGAGCCAAATGTGTCGTCATTCAATATTTAAAGATGAACATAGACATGGGCACCGGGATAAAGGTGCAAGGGGGTGCACTTGTCATGAAGGAATATATATAGAAAAAGTTAATGAAATAATATAATCTCGCTTTATTTTGATTTTTGTTTCCCGATGTTTCGAATGCTTTACAGCAATCATGGTCACGGGTAAGACCATGGTCACGGGTCATGGTTTCTCAAACAATCTGAAAAGATAGTTTATTTATTATATTTTGTAAAAAATATTTTTCACAATAATTAAAAAAAAAATGCATTTATGAATACAAATTAAAATGTTAATCATTTGAAGATGACTTAGATGTTTAATATGAAGAAGCAGATGCATTCCCCTGGAAGTAATTCTGCCGCCGCCCATTAACATAGATTATACTAGCGACTCACCCTGGCTCCGCTCGGGTTCGTCCCTAGGTGCTTCTTTAAATTGACGTAACTTTTTTATTTATGAACCGTTTGTAATAAAATAAGTACTGAATATTAAGTGAAGCTTACCACAATATATTCGTGAAAACCGCATCCAAATCGGTTAAGCCGTTTCTGAGATGAACGATGCACAGACAAACAGACGAAAATCCTAAAAATCATTGTTTTGAGTTGTATTGCGTAAATAAGGACCCCCAATGAGTTTTTCTCAAATATCTTCCATGTACAGGCAGCGATCAGTTACACTTTTATTATATGTATAGATTGATGTTATAGGTCTCGCGCGGATCCCGAGCCCCCGTTGCCGGAGACTCCGCCCGCGCCTCCTGTAGTGCCTGTGCGCAATGAAGACTTGGAGCCTGGCTCGCAACGCCAGTACTCCCTGGAGGATTTCGAGCTCATCAGGGTGATTGGACGTGGTTCGTACGCTAAGGTGAGTTTAGTTTTTGATACGATTGAATTCAGATGAAATTTTTTTTTTAGAATGGTTTCTAGGGTAGAGATTAGAGTTGTGTTGTGTTATGGCTTAGTTTCATTGTTAAAGTATTTTTTTCCTCTTATTTCCACTCGTATCTCCTGTTTTTCCGTTACATTTTCAGATAACGAGTAAGTTTTGCTGCTAATATTGCAAAATACTTACCGTCAGGCAATACTTACACTTGATTTTGACCTTTATAACATAGCAGAACTATTAGTTAATGTTTATATCTTGGCCAACGTATACTATGTATTTATTATCTTTCTCTAAAAACTTATGAATAGCTAGAGTCCATAGCTCTTAATTCTTCACATTTCTTTGTAATTGTTGGTAATCGTGGTAGTTAGCAGCGTCTTCTTCTCGACAATGCTACAAAAATCATAGAGATGATTGACGGACAGTGGTCCGATATAAATATAAAACCCATCGTCCAAAAGTCTTTAGATTTTACAGACTTTTCATTGAGATTTTAACAAATAATCTTATTAATAATAAGGACATACACACTAGGTAAATATCTAAGAAATAAATTAAATTTCTAAGAAATCTATTGTTAACTGTAACGCCGGCGTGTCCACGGTCGTTGAGGGATTATAGTAGTCATGAATATGTATAAACATAGAACCTCTTTTCAATTCCAGGTTCTAATGGTCGAACTGAAGAGAACGAAACGCGTATACGCAATGAAGGTGATCAAAAAGGCGCTAGTAACAGACGATGAAGACATCGACTGGGTCCAAACAGAGAAGCACGTGTTCGAGACCGCATCCAACCACCCGTTCCTAGTGGGGCTGCACTCGTGCTTCCAGACCCCCAGTCGGCTGTTCTTCGTCATCGAGTTTGTGAGGGGTGGTGATCTAATGTGAGTGATGAAATCTATATAAATAATAATTAATTGCTAAATGTATGTATGCTAATTAATTACTTCAGAACGGCTGTGCGTATTTGGCTAATTCTTTTTTTATTATGTTTGTTGAGGACAAGGTTTGGGTGAAAGAAATGTTTGAAAAATTGTACGCAAAAGTGAATTTGGGTTCAAAATCTCCATATAAAAAAGTGAGTTGATAGATCGTCGTTCAATTGTTCAGTTTCTCACATTATTTTTTCTGTTACATTCGAGAAAAAAAATATTTGTTGTTTTATTTGTTTTGTGAAAAAAAGTAATAAAAAAGTTGTAGAACTTTGTATTACATATTATAAAAATACCAGCGGCTGCAATTATTAAGTGGAGTTCATCAAAAACTACTGTACGGATTTTGTTAGAGCTTTCACCAATAGTAAGAGAAATTATCTAGACATGTTATAGACTAAAATTTATGAAGATTTTGCGAATATAAGCTCAAATTAAATCACGAAAAATGGCCCTTTCTGAGAACTTCTCTAATATTATAAAGTGGATTATAAGTATAACAATCTAGATTAATGTCTAGATCGTAATCTAGTGTTGATACAGAGTATAATATTTTTTTATGGTACTCAGTGATAAACGAGCAGACAGCCCACCTGATGGAAAGCTGTACCTATCGCCCATAACACCTACGGTTCATGCACTTAGGTTTTACGTAACAAAACTGCAGAACCGCCGGTACGTTATCACTGTTAGTCCTAAGATGATATGCCTCTTGCCTGTAATTGCGCTGGCTACCTTATCCTTCAAACCGGATAACAATAATGCAATCATTGTTGCTTGGCGGGAGAAATAGATAAGGGGGTGGTACCCATCCAGTCGGACTCCTCGGGTTTGACAGCGACCTACCACCGGTACCGAAATTATACACGCACGAATCCATCGCAAATAAAATAAATATAACAACAAAATATAAAAATGCTCAAAAAAAGCCACGGACAAATAAATAAAAATAAATAAAAAATAAATAAAAAAAACCACCGGTACACCGGTATAAGAACTTCAATATAATTTAAAACCTAACGACCTCACAGGTTCCACATGCAGCGGCAACGCCGCCTGCCCGAGGAGCACGCGCGCTTCTACGCGGCGGAGATCTCGCTGGCGCTGCACTTCCTGCACGAGCGCGGCGTCATCTACCGCGACCTCAAGCTGGACAACGTGCTGCTCGACCACGAGGGGCACATCAAGCTCACCGACTACGGCATGTGCAAGGTATTTTATGACTCTGATAATGACTGATTTATATTGAAAATTTGATCATTGTTCTGTCACGGAGTAATTTGGAGATGTTATTGTTTATGTTCAATAATTAACACTTCGGTCGCATTTTTAGATTTTCGTACCCGAAGGTTGTCAACGGGATCGTAGCACTAAGTTTTCACTATCCGCTTGTCTGTTTGTCAGCGGGCTGTATCTCATGAACCGTAATAGGTAGAGAGTTGAAATTTTCACAGAGTGTGTATTTCTATTGCTGCTATAGCAACAAATAATAAAAACCAAGATAGCTAATTTCAAAGAGGCCGCCATGCAAATTAAAAGAAAGATTAAGCTAGAATTGGTCAGTGTATTTAAAAAGTACATACACAATACATATATACAATATCTTGTACGATGGTATAGAATTTCCGTGTGCGAATCCGACTCGCACTTGATCGGTTTTTCTATCTATATAATGTATTTGTTTATTTTATCTTTATTCTATCATATATTGTTGCATTGCATTCCCAGGAGGGCGTCCGTCCCGGCGACACGACGTCGACCTTCTGCGGCACGCCCAACTACATAGCGCCGGAGATCCTGCGCGGCGAGGAGTACGGCTTCTCCGTGGACTGGTGGGCGCTGGGCGTGCTCACCTACGAGATGCTGGCGGGCCGCTCGCCCTTCGACATCGCGCACGCCGCCGACAACCCCGACCAGAACACCGAGGATTACCTCTTCCAGGTACTGAACTTGTACTTCTGAGTTGGGAAGTGCTGGCGAGGACTGAGTTTACTATTTAGTCTATATAGTCATAATAAATATGACACTAACACACAGCACCATCTAGTAGTACCATGGTAGGCTATTATTATATTACAATTATATTTGCATTCCACAGGTGATTCTAGAAAAAACAATCAGAATCCCGCGCTCGTTGTCAGTGAAGGCGGCGTCAGTGCTGAAGGGCTTCCTCAACAAGAGCCCCTCGGAGCGTCTCGGCTGCGGCGAGGCGGGCTTCCTCGACATCATCAACCACCCGTTCTTCAAGACGATCGAGTGGGAGATGGTGAGGGTTTATGCTATTTGGTATTTATTTGTGTACTATAGTCTCTTTTTAATCTCAGAGATAAAACTGACATTACGTGGGTTGTCAGTTTTTTTGCAATCCTTAAATAGTGATGTTGCCACTATCGAAAATTAACGTTAATAAAATCAAGTATCGTTTTTTTTATAATTAGTTCGTTTTTTATAATAAGTTATCCTGAAATAATGTGCTTATTTAAAATTATGTGTTTTTTAATGATGCTTAATATTTTAAAATTAATCAGTATGATATTTAATGATTTAGAATTAATAGTGTGAATTTTAATGATACACTTTGGAATATAAAACTTTGAAGCGAATCGTCTAATAAAGGTAAAAAGTTACGATTCAACAAACCGATATTGTAGGTACCCTGCACAAAATAGCTGGCAGCATTATTTGTAAATTTGACATTTGTATGTCAATTTAGTCTATGAGATTAAAAAAACAGACTATAGTTTTGCCTTTACTAATGCTCTCGGATTTGGTCGTGTAGTAGCCACGAAGAAGTTTAGGTGTCGAGTGTTAGTGTTTAGGAAAGATGTTGCAAACCTGTAATATATTGCTTCCAAAAGTCCTAGATATAGGTTTAATTGATGATCTAATAGAACTGCTGTCCGGGCTGTTGGTAGCTTCCTCACGGACCAACTACATTGAGACTTTTTAAATTGTATTGACGATTCAAAAGTGCTTGTAATAAGTATAGTTGAATATAGTTTAATTTCATTACATTTAATTTTATCCAGAATATGAGTTATTTGCAAAAGTAAAGGTAGTTCATTGGTAACGCGTTTATTTCGAAAGCCAATCAAAGTCGATTCAAACTAACTCACTGGTATATTATATCGCATTATACGACTTTACGGTTGATGTATACGGTAGTTGCTCGCCGCGTACTTGTGAAGACATCATATGTATTAAGTACCAGTAAATAAAAAAAGTGTCGTGACGGTCGAACTATTACTCTCTTTTCCGTTTAACTCTCATTTGCCAAGTGTGCCGTGTGTAAAGTGCGATAAAGTACTTTATTCCAATCAATATATAAGTTCAAATTCAAAATATTTCATTCAGCATTAAATTATTACAATTTTTTACGGAACGACCTGAGAAGAACTTGCGAAAAAACTCTAAGTATGTTTATATTTATGTATGTATGTATGTCCCCAGCTGGAGCAGAAGCAGGTGGTGCCGCCGTTCAAGCCGCGGCTGGAGGGCGAGCGCGACCTCGCCAACTTCCCGCCGGAGTTCACCGACGAGCCCGTGCACCTCACGCCTGATAACGAGTCAGTTGTATTCTTTGTTATATATTAGGATGGAGCGAAAAAAAAATTTTTTTTCTTAGCTTTTGTGGATAGAATATGTAGGTAATAAAAAAATGTTTTTTTTTTTTTAAATTAGTGGACCACGTCTAAATGTTAAGTAATTTTTTTCGCTTTACCCTATTATTTACTATTTTATTATTTGTATATTCTTTATTTAAGTTTGTTTTGTGTTGTATATTTGAATTTTTTGTTAAGTATGACATTGTAATTTTATGTGGGATTTTATAATGAAGTAAAATAATTTTGTTATAATTTATCTAACATCAATAATATTACATATCTATCGAACAATAAATGTTTGCTAAGTTAACCTGAAACACAGGTTGTTAGCCTAGCCGTGTATTTTATAAATATTATATAACTTTGTAAAAGTATTTGAATAAAATTATTATTATTTAAAAAAAAAGTATAGTAATATTGTATGTGTGTCCGTGTGTCCCGCAGTACGGTGATCGCGGACATCGACCAGTCGGAGTTCGAGGGCTTCGAGTACGTGAACCCGCTGCTGATGTCGCTGGAGGACTGCGTGTGACAGCACGCCTGCCGGCTGCACCCGCACGCGGTACTTACATCTCGACTTTATACGTATTTATTTATTACTAGCAATGTCCTTAGTAACATTTTAAATGGATGAAAAAATAGTTATCGTGAATGTACTTTAGATAGTTGGTTCCCCATTCAACCCCTTTTTTATGATGGGAAATTTACAAGTACCGCCTGTATACATACAGGTGATAATATGACTATGTTACTTCTTTCAAGTTTTATTTTCGCGACAAAAGTAACCTAATCTTTCTCTAAAGTCCTATGTATCAACATTCACAATTTTATAATATTCATTAATAACATAAATAACAATATGCATTACGAAAAATTTATTCAACAAAGCCGTGTCTACTGAGAATATACGCATTAAATGCTTTGGTTTCTAAAGATGCTCTATTTTAATATAAGCGTATTAAGGAATTTCAATATGTGTTATTTATTTAATAATTATATTTTTATATGTGACAGGGCTACGGGTACCCGTCGTCGTCTTCCTCGGACTACGACTCGGTGTGCTCGGAGCTGCCGCGCAAGCCCACGCTGCTGCAGCACATGTTCTGCTTGCCGCTCAACTGACGCGACACAAACACACACAAACACACACATTATACACACATTACACAAACATTCCCCCGCACACACAAACTTCACTGGTCAATGGCTTGTGTATTCTGCTCTGGCACTACTTTTGTGTATCGCTTATACGCAAACGTGCTTTGTGTTTTTTTTTGTGTAATAACAAATTATATTTTTGGTGGTCATTTTTTCATTTTGTGTTGATTTATGAGTATTAAACGCAGTCAGTATTATGAATAAATTATTTACAAATTGTATTGGGTTAATTTGAAATGGAATACACAAACACATTTGACAGTTGGTTTTGACATGTGTCACTGTGACATTCTCACTACATTCTATTAAACATGTTGTGGACATGTATAGATATTTATGTTTAGTATTATTAGTTATTTTTATTGTATTTTTACTGTATGTTTGTCATTTAACATTCCAAACGTTTTTTTTTAATTACATATTTTACTGTGATCTCCATAAAATCACATTAAATATAACTTAAAGCAGCAATCCCATAGATCTTCCAACGTATAGATAATAACGGAATTGACCGGTCGGAGTACAGAAATTGAGCGTCACAACGATAACTACGACACTATAACGGGTGCATAACGGCAAATGTACATAAATATAACGATACTAGCGTAATTATTCGTTATCTTCCTATAATTAGAATTTAATAATCGATTCGACGCTTGTGTACATACAAAATATATAATGTATATGAATATTGTATAAAATTTTGAATCTGTAGAATTGAATATTGAGTATTGTGAATCTTTCTATGAGAAAGTTGTTAAATTCTTAGAAAATGATGCGTCAACTATTATTTTGCTATAAATAATAAATAAAATAACGATTGATAATTAAAAATGTTTGTTGGTTTTAGAGATGTTATTGTGAGGGGATACTATATAAAATCGATTACGTAATTATCGATTACGGTAAAATCGTTTATTTTATAAAAAAGCTAAAATCTAGTAACGAAATCTAGAATACTCATAATAAGGCATCTCTACAAACAAATTATAAATAACGAATGCCTTGTGCCAATTAAAAATGTCAGCTAAAATTGATATATTTTAAATCGTTTAAGACGCATCATGTTCTTAAACTTGCTAAATCTTTAAAAGTCGTTGTAAGCAATAAATCGTATAAAGTAGTTATCTGGAGACAAGCTGCTCGAGCAAGGCACGTGAGGAATTAAACGTAGAGACAATGCCCTGAACAGGTGCGATTAGAAAGACAATTTAGTATTTCCTAGGCCTAGATGTAAGTGTCGTAGCTTTTCGCCATCGAAACGGATGTTTGTAGCTAAAGGCGATATTTTCAATTATAAAACTATCGCGAATACAATGGAGAATTCAAAATTGATATACAAACGAGATATCGATGTCGTGTAATCGAAATCGATTAGATTGTAATGCACGGTTCACTCTCACCGCTCACGCCGCAGTAGTGTAGCGTCTGTATCGGCTAGCGATATGTCGTAACTGTTACTTAGGCCCGCTCCACACTATAGTGCCGATCACAGTCCGTTCTCGGTCCGATGTCGGTCTGGTAAAGTATTTCTATACAAGAAACGTAGCTAGAGCTTGATTCGGCACGTGAGTCTTAGACCCGAACTACACTATCGTGCTGAACGCAGTCCGTTTTCGGTTCGATATCGTTCTGGTAAAGTATTTTTATACAAGAAACGTTAATGGAGAGTGGTTCGTTCGGTACTTGACTCTTACGGGTGCTGTGAATATACTCATAGTTTCTTGTATAAAAATAATTTACCAAACCGATATCAGGTTGAGAATGAACCGTGATCGGCACTGTAGTGTGAAACGGGCCTTAGTGATGTGTGAATACACTCATTTTTTCTTGTATAACAATACTTTACCAGACTGATATCGGACCAAGAACGGACTGTGATCGGCACTATAGTGTGGAGCGGCCCTTAGACCTACTCGTAGCAATCGATGGTTATTGTATAATATATTCCACTCCCTACGTAGACCTTTCGATGCTACCACTCGGTTAGTTAGCCAACGAATTTTATATAAACTCTAAGTATATCGTAACGAGCACTGAAGTAAATTATATATGTATTTATAAAGAAATTCTCGTTCATTACAATGGTTATAATAAATTATTGTTAACGTAGAAAAGCCTTTATATTAACGAAAACGGTATATTGCAATTTTATCGATGTTTAATCGATTGTGCTTCGATTATAAAGTAATATTTCTTTTTTTTGTTTGTTATATGTTATATCGATGTTTTAAGTTTGAAGGCAAAAGCGCTTTTATGACTTGTGGCTAATTAATTGTCAATATATTTTAATAAAACAAAAAAAAAATTAAATATGATTATATTATAAATTGAAATGTAAATCGATAAAAAATTGCACTATACTGTAGTGTATAAGTGATCGTAAAGGATCGGAGAGTCCACAACTATTCTAAATAGTGTAGAAGTATTAGAAATTTTGCACCGATACTATATGTATGTACTTAGTTAACACGCGAGCCGAAGCTCCCGAACGCAGACGTCGAACTGTATGGGAGAATACATCCTAACACAAACCTATTATTGTTACCCCATCCAATTTGAATCCCTTAGAATTTATAAAATTTATTTAAAAAAATATATTAATATAACATTTTAAAATATACGTTAAATATATAAGCACTGATGGGAGATCCGTTTCATATAATTCGACGTCTATATATGTATATGAGTGTTGTTACCAACGTCTGTCTGTTTTGCGGCATTTCAGAGATTATGTTACTTAGCGTCCGTCGGCTTTCTCGAGCCCGTAGCTTTGTTATAACTTACGGTTTAAGTATTTAATTATTTTCATATTTTAGTTTATAATTTAGTTTGTATCGTTCCAAATGTATCTGAGTGTGGCGTATTGGTGCATGCGAGACGTTAGCAAGATGGCGGTCTGTTGCATTTCTTCAATTCCTTAAGTATTGTAAAATAAATTTAATTTTAAGCTCGATATCACCAAACTGTTATATAAGGCACTACTAACTGCATGACAAGTGACATTAACAGTTGTTAAACTGATCCCACAAATATGTAAACGTGTAAACGCAATTTAAGTTAGAACAAATGTATTTAGTTTTTAGTTTGTTATAGTTTATCGAATGGTCGTGGTTTTGGTGTGTTTATTTTGTTCGTGTCGAGACACCAATATGTACTTGTGCGACTGCGGCTGTCGACTAGACTGGAGAACTTGAGGTATTGTACTATTCTATGCTTAACTGAAAATAAAGAATGATTAATCTGAAATGCCTTTTTATTTATTTTCACAATATTGTGAGTCTAAATCCCAAGGTATATCTGGTTGCAGGATGGAAAGAGTACGGCAAAGTCCTTAACTCAAAGGCGGTGTTGTATTTTCTTAGGCCAGACAGGCTGTCTTTTAATTGTTGAAATTAGTCATAAAATAATTCAAATGCTATGCTTTTCAAATAAAAAGTTATTTTTGTCACTCGTAAACATATTCGTATTCGCCGATTTGAAAAAAAAATCGTATTCATAAAAGCACAAATGACATACATAAAGTTGATCGGAAATTTAACAGCGATAATATCACATAATTCATCCTGAATTAAATTTTCAGTAACAGACAGTTTTTAAACAACTAACGAGTATAAAACGTAAAAGCGCCATCTGTGCATGAGCACTTCAAACCCATTAGCTGATAGATTTTATTTTTGCAAAAATTAGTAAAATTATGCATTTTATTACGTTTTCCTCTACTTGAACTCAATGAAACCTACCTTTCTAGAGTGTTTTTAGAGCTACTTAATTGTTAATTTAAATTCAAGAAGTGTTGATATTTGCAAAAAAATTGATTTTTGAAAAAGTAAAAACAATATTATTTAACATAAACTTAAAATACATTATTTTGATATGAAAGGGTCCAAAGGATAGGTACTGAAAGACAATCTAGGTCTACTCTGATGAACTGATAAAAGTAATATTCATTACAATACATACGGAATACATACTAATATTATAATGTAATATGAAAGTGTTTGTTTGTCCTTCTTTTTGACGAATCGGCGTGATCTTTTGTGTGGAGATAGTTGGAGGGCTGAAGTAACATATGCTATTTTTTTACCGCGGGATATTACCTAAATCCCACGGGATAACACTATAATACAATCCAAAAAAATATTTATACTCAGAATTACTTGAAACTTGGTATTAATGCTCTTCAATAAAATTAAATAAAAACGTGGATGAAAATTTGTATAAAAGTACCTTTTTAGAGATTTTTTGGAGGTTTAGCGCAAGCGAAACCGCGGGTTCTGCTAGTTTTAAATAAAATTAGAACGACGCAGAAAACTCACTTGAATAATTAATTAATACTCAATGTTAGTTTTCTTAATATTGACATTTAAAAATAAAAGATTAAAAATTGTGTATAACTCGTTTTTTTTAAAAGTTCACAGTTCAGTTCAGTCATTCAATTATTCACTCTCATATTGCTATCATCGATGTCGATCCTAGCAATAAATAGGCCATTAAAATGAAACAATATTTCGAATAGAGAAATATATTTATTTCGATAAGTGCACAATAAAACATAGCCTCTGTCGTCTGCAGTTGCTACACACGTACGTATCTCCGCACTACAATCTACACAATTATAGTTCAAAATCTAACACATAAGAGATTTTTAAGAATATATTACTTCCTAAACCCTCGTTTCAAGTCTTGGTTTTACAATTCACTTCAATTCAGAAGTTTTAAATCAAATAATTTACTCTTTAACACACGGACTAGAATAAAAAGAATTACTCCGCGTAACGCAAATCACAAGTAAAGCACTATTTCCAATTAACTATGTGTGATGTCGAACGGTATCATTATGCGTAATGCTGCGGTCACACCGCAGCGGTCCAACGAACGCCAACGAAGGATATTCATCGTTTGCTATCACACACTCGTTGGCTTTCGAAGGTACGTCCAAATACATTTAGTGATTGCGCAAACGTTTGTTTGAGACAGGACCAACGAAACCCATTCACTGGCGTTCGTTCTGTGTGTACGCAGCATAATTGTGACCGCTCGGCATACAATGACATGTGTAAAGCGTGTATATATATATACACGCTTATATTATATATATATATATATATATATATAAAGATATATATATATATATATGTAGCTCGTCGGCATATTTGGGGTCCTCCAGTTTCAATATGAGTGGCGCGGAATTTTTTTCTTCTAATCCGTGTTTTAACATTACTGACAATCAGATTATAACCTATAAATGCATTTTCACATCAAATTAACTATGACACTAACAAATACTGGGTTTCAATTCACTACATTTAATACTGGGATAAACAGATCTAATATTAGCTAAATAATGATCTATTTCACTAAAAAAAATGTTAGATCTTGTTTATGTTTACATAAATAAAGACAAACGTGCATTTGATATAAATATAAATAATACTGGCAGTCTGAGACTTTTTGAGATTATCCAAAGAGAAATAAGTACAGTTTGCCATATACTTTAAAGAACCAAAGACAAAAAATATATCTCTATACAAATCATTTTTTTTTATGAATAAACACAACAATTAATGCCACATGAATGTGGCAATAATTTTAAATCTAAAGTACATATAATTTGTAAATATATCAAAACATGAACATAGAGGATATATTAAAATAGTAAAATCCAGAACGATTGTAAAAGTTCTAGAAATCTCTTCAAAATTTCGTCTTGGGTAAAACCAAATAAGCTATAAATAGCAGATCTTATTGAGATTTCACATATAAATATATATATGGAGTATGCCTATACCTTAAATAATTTGTTAGGAATGCATTATATACCGAATGTATAAATATAATTTTATAATTTACGATATATTTCATCAATAATGCTCATTTATGATTCATGACACTAACATAACTTATACACAGCCAAAACAAATGAAGAAAAAATAAAATTTAACAAGAAACATATCATTCTAAACGAACCGAAAAATGAATCTATTACATCGATCAAAAAAGTACTAGATACACAATCAACGACAAAAAAAGACCTCGCCGAATGAGCGCTCATTTGAACATTTGAGCGTGCTTTTAATTTTTTTTGTGAAAACAACTCTAAGCATTGTACTTAAAGTTCAATTTACATTATCGTATATTTATTTCAACTAGAATAATTAAACACAATTGGTGACAGTTTTAAGAGAACTTTTGCATGGGATTGCGTATCTAATACTTTTTTGATCGATGGTCTATTATAAAAATAATAAATATGACACCTTTTAAATACTGTAGATATACGACATTACGCCGAGAGGAACTAACATATATTAATTTGAACAATTTCCTGTTAAGCTTTGCTCTAACACATTAAATCTTTATTAAACAACGAAAAATTATTTTAAAAATAGAAATAAATTTTACTAACATAACCCATAGAATACTGTGTGCAGATCGCTTCAAAAGCGTTAACGTTTGTGCTTTACTAAATTAAATAAATATTTTCTGCGAGAGATATAACAAATTAAATAATGGTAATGAATGAGATTGATATTTTTGTGTAATTGAGATATACCTATTCACTTGTCGCCATTTTCCTGCGCCATCTTCTGTTTCTTGGCGGGCGGCGCTGCCTTGAACATGGCGCCCGAGCGGAGCTCCGACATTAAGAACGGAACCTTGAAACAATATATTAATATTTTAAATAACAATTTTTTAATTAGTCTTGATACGTGAAGAACTTGTGTCATTCTATTAAATAAGTTTATTAAAAAGTAGTTGTTGTAGTGCAATTTTCACGACTTTTAATATATTTTTTTATGTATTGCTTGTTTCGTGACGCAATTTGGACCGCAAATACAAATTCTTGTAGTATACATCCAATTAAATTTGTGTTAAATCAGGATCACACATTCATTATAATGAAAATTGCGTACTTAAATATATTTAAGTACGCAATTTTTTTTCTACTAATGCACTACTGGTGCATTAGTAGTGCATTCATTAGTAGTGCCTTAGCTAAAACTTGGTATTAATAGGCCATTTTGTGTCTGAGCTTAGAGCACTTAAGTCATCTGCGATCTATCTAAAGTACTACTAGGTCTGTATAAAAACGTGGTAAGCCCTTAAATGAGCGAGCCTGTACTCCGTGCCCTAGTAAGAGTACTCGAGACATGTATCTGCGATGTGCTCTAAGTAAAGCACTAGGTATGTAAAAGCAAACAAGCGAGCCGGTGGTATCGCGTGCCCGAGCTCGAGCACTCGAGCACTCGTGCCGCGCGCGGGGTACCTTGTGCTCGAGCTGCATGTGGTGCGCGGGCGGCAGCGCGAGGCAGGCGCGCAGCAGGTTGTCGAGGGCGGCGCGCTGGCGGGACAGCGCGTGCACGACGGGCGCGCCCGGCGGCACCAGCGGCGCCTTCACCAGGTACGACAGCGGCGACGCCACCGCGTGCAGGCTGCACCACTCTGTGTACACACACAGTGTTATAATCGACATCATTTTTCGTAATAATGAACATTATTTTTATCATTTTTACGTGATAATTACTATCATTTTTAAGGTTGTGAGTGATCCTAACAAATATCTCTTCAAAAAGTAGCGTCGAAATTTGTGACAACAGAATAAAATCAAAATTCGGAAAGTTTTAATTGTCTAAAACGAAATTCAAACTTAAGCAAAATTAAGAAAAGTAATGAATAAAATAAATATGAAAACAAACTTTTAAAACGCTAATTGTGTATTTTGAGTTTTTATATATCAGTCTGTATTACGCCGACAACGACTTTCCTAAAAATAAATATACAATAAATCAACTTAAAATCGCTTCTATTAACTAAATACAGTATTTTAATATATAAAACCCTATAGTTTGAAATAAACTAATTTAAGTTGCACCCACCATCCGTCAAAAAATTGTTTTGTACAAAACTTAATTTCCGATTTGTACAAAACACGATTGCCGACTTGTACTAAACTTAAATTTCCAATTTGTACTAAACCCAATTTCCAATTTGTACTAAACTTAATTTCCAATTTGTACCAAACTTAATTGCCATTTTGCACAAATATATTTAATTAACATATTTAACCAAGACTCACCGTCCTCGCCCCTGCGCAGATGCACGCGGGCGAGCAGGTCGGCGAGCAGCACGAGGTCGAGCATGAGCGGCGCCGCCAGCAGCGAGTCCTCGCACGTGTTGTGTATCGCCAGCGTGTTGGCGCCGTGCAGCAGGATCTCCGACGTGTACTCGTCCATTGCACGCTTCGAGTCACCTGCACAATGATATCATAATTAGTTTGACTGCCTCGAATTCTGCCTGCCTGAATTATTCTGTTAAAATAATCTCGGAGTTGGGAAGTTAGCGGTGTTGCACCCCCGTGCCTCGGAGAGCACGTAAAACCGTCGGTAGAACGCATTAACTCTCACCGGTCGTGTCTCGTGTCGTACCGGAGTATGAGAGTGACAGGAATAGAGAGTGCACGTCTTGTCTGCGCTCTCTCTCACACGCGTTGCATATAACATCTCCTGGGCAGTTGGCTAGTCTCAATGAGATTGGCCACCGATCGGAAGGACATTACATAATATGTATATCTATTTTTTAAATACAGAAAAAATGAAATTTTGACTTAATGTTGTCATTATTATCAGTACTTCAGTATGTGTTGTGCACTCACCGACGTGCGGCACGTACTTGATGACGACGACGTGGTCGGGGCGCTCGCCGGCCGCGTACAGCACGGAGTTGGACGCCACCATGTCGTCCACCACGTTGCTCTTCGATATCTGTCGGTGTAATAAGTTATCATTATACAAAATTTAGCCAATCCAATACGATTTTGCGTGAAATGGACACAGATGAATAGATAAAATTTTCAATGAGATTTGTTTTGGGTTTGCTTTTCATTTACAATATAACGCCAGGTAGTGGTAGCACGCTCGCTTCAGAAATCGAGTGAAGCGGGTTAAAATCTCGCATCTCTGATATTTGCATATGCGAATCATTTCCAAATGCAAAAAAAAAGTGTTAAAGAAAAGCATCATACCTCCTTGGAGCGGAACTGTCTCGGCGCGGAGAGGTTCTTGCCATCGTTGTTGCCGAGGTGGTTGTAGCTCACGATGGACGCCGGCTTCAGACCTGTGGATACATCATCATGTATACAGGTGTCCCAGAACGTAACGATAACCTGGCATCGGGAGAAAGGTCCTCTTATGACGGGCCAGTAAAAAAAATCAGCGTTTTACACACAGTAGTGCCAGCCATTTTATTGAAAAATGATAAATATACTACCCGGAGTGGAATTTTTCGGCATTGTGACTAGAGTTTTGAATTGTTTGTAGGTTTTAATACTGTTACGGCCTGGCAAGAAGCTAAACTAGTAGTTGGGAAATCAAACAAATCAAACAAAGTTTTTAAATAAAACATTTGTTACCGATTTGTTTCATTTCTTAAAAGAATGATTTTTTTAAAGAAATTTAAATTTTTACAATTATTTAAAAAAATAAGGAATATTTACCGTTTAATGGACATTAAAGGATAGATAATAGGTATATGTACAATTCAAATCCTAAAAAAAATATCAACATCCACACTGACCAGCAGAAACCAAGAAATCCACCAAAACGGACTTGAGTTTCGTCTGTCCGGACTTGAAGTCGTCTCCGGCCACGAACACGTTGTTCTTCTCGGCGCGCTCCACCACGCCTTGCACTACCGTGTTTTGTGGGGACCCGTTAATGTACGAGCACTGGAAAATAAAAGCTACGTTGAAATTCTTTATTGTTTGTAAAAAACTCTTCCAACTGAACTCAAAAAAACTTACGAGACCTGAGAAGAACTACTCATAATCATACAAAGTATGTATAATGAGAGCACGCATTTAGGTTTAATGTTAAGACTGTTTATTAAAACCTAAAACTCTAAATAATCTGCCATTTCACTCAAAACTCAACAATTAATTCAATTCTCTTGTTAATGGCTTCGAAGCGTGCCAGTTGTGCACATATTACTTCGCTAATGTCATATAGAATGAAGGAGGTACGAGGGAGATTGATCAATAAAATAAAACAATTATTGTAAATTAAATTATAATAATATGTAAAAAAACGGTGTATTCGCACACCATTCATACCATCGTGCATGTACATTTTATTAACATAACTTTTACTCTATGTATGTAGTATATTAACTTCGATGATTGATTAAGAACGCTAAAAAAATGTTTCTTGTGTTTTTATTTATTTTTATTATTTGTTGTTATAGCGTCGTTATAGCGGCAATAGAAATACATACTCTGTGCAAATTACAACTCTCTACCTATTACGGTTCATGGGTTACAACCCTCTGACAGACGGACGGATGGACGGACAGCAGAGGCATATTAATAGTTTCGTTGGCATCCTTCAGGTACGGAACCCTAAAAAGGATTCTTTGTAAATGTTCAACCTACTCAACTAAGAAAGTAGACATTTGTTCAAAATTATCAGTGAAATTAGACAAAAATGATTCCTACAAACCGACAAAATTCCCAATCATGTTATTTTCAAATATGAAAGAAAATAAAGGTAGTAAAAACATCTTCTGTCTCTATTCCTTTATTATTTCTAAAAACTCACCCCTTCGTCAATCGCTGCTAGCGCGAAGATGGTAGAGGGCGATATCTCAGAGTGGTTCTGACGGAGAGCCTTCTCTAAGTTTTCAGATGTGTCGTGGATGCCGGGTATTACTTCGCAAAATCTATAACCAAATGAATATTATAAGTAAAAATATACGGCTTGTATAGGTATGTACTTAATATAATAATTTAATTTATCTAATATTGGCAGTATAACACCTAGCAGGTAAATTTCTAAGAAATTAATTAAATTTCTAAAAAATCTACTGTTAACTGACACGCCGGCGTGCCCGCGGTCGTGGAGGGATTAAAATCCTTCTTTGTATTCTTGTGATGTGTTTGTTTGTTTTTGTCTTTTCAGGACAAAAACGTGTCAACGTTCTTTTTACAGAAAGTTTTTGGACAGAGATAATTTATGGGCCAGAAATTGATGTGTCCTACATTGAATCCATACAACAAATTATTCTAGCAGGACATTTGTGCTTTAAAAAAAACAGTTTTTTTTAATCCACTTTATAAATCAATAGTATAAAACCTCTCAAAGCATGTATCGTGTGTACCTGTTTCTAAAAATTATCTTATTTTTAGAAGACGAGTGTCACGCCTTCGTTTCAGTACGGCCCTAAAAAAAACTCATATACCGTTGAGATAATTGCAACCTTGACACTCAGTAAAGAATGCACTACCACTATAAATGGAATTTTAAGACTTCATAAAACTTTAAGATTAGCTTTTGCTTGTGGCTTAACTCGCATACTTTATATGCATTATTTCCCCGCCCGTTCGATCTTAATGTCTTCTTATATCGCCTATAACCTTGCTCGATTAATAATTTATAAAATACAATATCTTTTTACTGGGGCGGATTCATCAAATAAGTAAAAAATCTTTTACGTTTTTTTTTTAATATTAGTAGGAATAACTAGGCTATTATAGATTCCCTCCCAATCACCGAGGTTTTAACTACTCTCCATGAGATCTTGGGAATACAATATTCTAATATCGCATGAGGACCGTTTTATAAACAATATTTGCCGATAGAATTATTAAAAGTATATATAGTACCTATACAATAAAGCAGATTAAATGCGTTAAAATATCTTGCATTCATACCAATACCTGAGTGATCAAGCTTGGCTCATCGTTTTACGGAAAAGACATATATTGCGTTTTTTTTTTTCAGAAAAGTTAGATAAACTTAAGAAGTAAAACCTAAATACTTTCTTAGATTTACGATATTTTAAATAAAACTATATTTTCGGATTATTTCGCGGATTTATTTGGATTTTTGATTCCCGACGTTTCGAATGCTTTACAGCAATCATGGTCACGGGAGAGACTAAGGTTTTAGACGTGTCAAAGGAATTGATCATTTAATATTATAAGATTAATATGAATAGTAAAATTATGTGAATTATTTGCAAGTTCATAATTTCATATATTCTATAAACACAACAAGGCAATATGCAACTCTAACATATTATATCTACATAATGAGTGCGTCGTTATCGATTCGCGCAGTTGTGTACAAGTTGCACACGTCGTATCTAACAATAGCTTTTAACTGGAAAATAATAGTAATATTACTTATATCTTGCTAAATACACATAGTTATTAAAAAAACACAGATCAATCACCAAAATCATTTTAAATACAATTATTACACCCCTAAAAGGATGATCTATTATTTTTGGTCAGACCACCCTCGACTCTCGTATTACATACATACCTACATATTAAAAATTAAAAAAAAAAGAAACAAGGAAACCAGACCGAGAACGGTGTGTTTACCATACATTTTATATTTATATAATTTTAATTGTTTTTAAGCCAGGTTCAAAATATAATTTTAAAAAATCAAGAAATTTATTTATAACATACGGCCGAACTGATTACAGTTTTTAAAGTCTGTAGAAATCCAGACCGACAACGGTCTATTTACTGTACATGTATATAAAAGCAAGGTTACAATTAATTGGACTAATTGAACTTTACAGCGCAGAATATAATCGTTATACACTTCTGTAAGATACTTAAAATGCCTCTACATATAAAAATAAAATTCGCAGGTTTGATTCCCGTACGAATATTTGTTTTTTTGGCAAGAGATTTTCGTTTTAGTTGAATTTATTCTAAAATAGCCATGTAGAAAGGACGTATATTAGTGATATTGACAACAAGTTATTCTATTAGTATATATGTATTTATTTTTATGTATTAGTGAATTCTATGATTTTTTTCTAAATATTTAGTAATATAACTCGTTTATCCGCACCCCTTCTCTCTTACAGTTTTCTATTTCCTACACCTGCCTGGAAGATATCATTGTTTTAGCGATAATGGCGCCTGTTGTACATTATCTTTTCTCTACTTTTATTATTTTTATTTTTCTTTGTGTACAATTTTATAAGTTTACAATTTTATTAGTTTAAGTTTATTATTATTATTAATTTAGTACTGGTAATTCAACTTATTTATTTAGTGTAGGTATATATTGATACATATGAAATCAGAACATAAATCGAGATTTAAAATTTTTAACTTGCAGAAACTCTTCTGTTTTTTATAAGCATTGATAAAAAGAATTGAATTGATCAAAGAAAAGCATAGGAAAGAAAACCCATCGGACCCTAGTCCCTACAAACCCAACACATTTCAATTCAGTCACGTTTCATAGTTTACACGGATTTAACCATTTGCTTACTGAAAATTGAATTATAACACTTTGGGATACGTTTCGTAATTGAGTTTTCATTATATTGGTTTTTGTAACCCGATAATTTTACTGTTATTTTACGGTGGTAGTAGCATCAATGTCACTTAAAGCGTGTTCCCAATCGTCACGTGTGTCAGTGAACTTTGACGATTCTCGTTTGGCAATTATGACGCACTCGTTCGACAAAGCCAACTATAGAAGCTTATTATAAGACGGACTTTTTCGTATGTTGCCATAAACTTGTTAAATTAAATGGTAATATAATTAAATGTTATACAAGCTAGTATATACTTCTGAATTTATGTACCTATTAGCGACTCACCCTCGCTTCGCTAGATTGGATTCCCCATACAAACTTTCATCCCAAATTTCACCTCCTTAAGGGATGATTTCCGGGATAAAAACTATTCTATGTCCTTCCCAGGGCCTCAAACTATCTATCTTCTTACCAAATTTCATCTAAATCGGTCCAGTAGTTTGGGATCTTATTCGGTATAAGCAAACAAACAAACAAAATAATCTGTCCTCTTTATAATATTAGTACAGATAAGTTATTCTTATTAAGTACGTACTAAAATGAAAAATTAACATTAGGTATACCAGAAAAATTAAATACTACTCAAAAATGGCTTAAATAAACATGGACTAAATACTTTAAAAAGACCTAAACTCTTACCGAAAAGAATATCGAATATAGAAAACAACATCTTACCTTTCAGTATTAGCAGTCCATAGAACGATAACTTTGTCCAACTTCTTCTTGTCGCGGAAATCTTTGATGTCCGCTCGAATTTGCAGGTACTGCTCGTATCTTGTTCCGCGGATCAAATTTACTGCACGGTCCACCTAAAATATATGAATAATTCTAACTTTTCCACCTTTTTAACTTAAATTCTGCTCGTTGGTAAGCACAAATTAAAGAAATCAAAGACACTTTTTTTAAATGTTTGTAATAAGTCTGAATAAGGTTAAGGGGCCGTTCATAGAATGCGTCACGCAAAATTTTACATTTTTAGATCTTCTCCCTCCTCCCTCTCTTCGTCATGCTATCAGCTATGTCACATTTTCTGCGACCAAGATACTGATGCGAGAAAGATACACGTCACGTTCTCTTAAAATTAGACTCCTCTAACCCCTCTTCTCACATCTTGTCACAGTCAGCGACACCCCCTACCCCCATAAGTGCTAACGTATTTTATGCATTAAGGGAAAAATATTTGGAAACGTTGGCAGGAAAGTTCGAAAATTCAGAAATAAAATAAAAATGCTTTTTTCTGTATAACATCAAACATCTTAAATTATATTAAAATTAGGAGAGTACATCTTTCTGGTCATCTAGTAAATTATAGTTTTTAAAAATCGATTCAAGGACTCCTCAAATATAATGTTTAAGGTTATATAAGTTGGAATCACAAAAATGGCAGTTAGTTATAATACAATGAGATTGAATTCGAGTGCAAAGTTACATAACATCGGTTAAGTGGAAGTCTAGTAGGAATTACTCGGATGGTATATGATGAGTTTCTCACAAACAAACAAACAAAAACAATGTATGCCACGTATAATGAAGTCCTCCAATATTGCATAAGAGCATATTTAAAAATGTTTGTTTAACTGTATATAAATGATTAGCCGACGATTACTTAAAAATAACATGTGTCTTATTTAAATAAGACCTAACTGTAATCATTTCTTTGGAAAACCCTAATGTTTTAGACTTTTGACTAAAAATCGACTTGAACACCATCCAATCATTTCAAATTAAACTCAAAACCTTGTATCACATATCTCATATGACATATTGTACGTAATAAATATATATATATATATATATATATATATATATATATATATATAATATATAAGACGGAGGAGGATTTAGTTACCTTTTTCTGTTATGAAACCTTATTATTGTTTAAAGTCACTATGTTCTTTAATTTACTTTTTATTGGTTTTAAAGTGATTTTAAATATAGAGCAGAGATTTAGTCTCGAGCGGGGTCGAGACGCCATCACGACATTCTTTGCAGATACGTGGTGTAGTAAAGTCGGTTGATCTTAAAGAGTTATGTTTGATATTGTAGTTGGAAGTCGATGATCGGTGACTGTGAACCCGCTAGCTCTAAATCATTAGAATTACCGTTTCAAGTTTATAACATTGTGACTTCCCTGATTAAATTGTGTATTGAGCACTGAATACTTTATTATTTGAGCCCTGATAACGCCCACAAGATGAGTACCCACTAAAGATGATGTTCGTAGTATATGGATAACACGACATATATATACCTATATGTGTGTACCTATATGTCAACATAATCCCACTATTATTAGTTAATAATTATACGCATGGATATCCCCGTCAGATACAATATGGCCTTGGCATTGACAGGCATAAACAGTGCATTTAACTTTACGTAACGATCGCGTTCACCTTGGCATTACCACTATCTGTTTATCTTCCCTACATAAGCACAACTGTAGTCAACAGGAAACTAACACCTGTTAAATTTGCTTTAGTTTGTGGCGTTTATAAACCATGAAACTATGAAAATGGGTCATATAGGAAAGGTTAACATACCGGATACTATGTACTTGCTAGTTGCTGGTACGTACAAAATTGCACAACATCGACTCGGCGATATATGATATTGTTTATTCGGTTGCATTTTAATATTAAAAACAATAATGGCATATAGAAATCGAATAAAAATAGGAAATATTTTGGTGACGCAATTCATAACTTTATTTATATACAATTTGATGAAATTGTTTCCCAATATAAACTTTCATCCCCATTCTTCACCCCATTAAGGGATGATTTCCGGGATAAAAAGTATCCTATATCCTTCCCAGGGTCTCAAACTATCTTCTTACCAAATTTCATCTAAATAATTTCAGTAGATCCAGAGATTACCCTCTACAACGTCACAAACTCACAAACTTTACCTCTTTATAATATTAATATAGATATAACTAGTGATCGTGGCGAATGGTTAAAAATCGATCCTAATTGATTAAATGTATACTTAATCAAGTCCTTTTGTCTACACATATATAGGCAACCTAGCCTGTACCTGCCTTAATCATAAGGCCTAACAATCTATTTGCAGATAAACAAACGAACTCTCAGATGTAAAACGCTACAAAAAGTGCATTCATGGTTTTTAAGGCATATAATAAAATATCGCATATTATTCTGAGCGCAACGCCTCTAAGAATTGTCAATAAAGTTAATTATCTCATTGCATCGCCGATAATTTCATAGATAATTTTGATCAAGCCTAGATCACTTTGTTTAAGGTGTATTGACAAAATTTTAACACATGCAGCCTGTGGGCTAACTATACGGTCATATACGGACATCATGGGATGCTCATGGGACCGTACAATTACTAGGCTGGGTTACTTACATCTATATTTGAGCGCTTTCTAAAACCCCATCATTTTTTTAGAGGAAATCTTTCTAATTGCTAATAATCGTTATTAGAATTAAACCATACCTAATGCATACTTTCTTAAGATTTACGCGAATATCTGACATCTATACATATAATAAAATTGTAACTAAGTTGAATCTGTACATAAAATATTTTTTTGAAAATCTTATTGAAATAGACATTATTATCGATACAGAGGCCGAATCTATAGTTTTTAGAATTTTTGTCTGTCTGTCTGATACCGCATCACAGAAAAAATACTGGAGGGATTTTGATGAAATTTGGTATGGTGATAGCTGGTTATCCGGGTCAACATATAGAATACTTTTTACCGCGGGAAAATGTCTCATTTTTGAGAAAATAACAAAAAGCGCAATGTAAGAGTATACTAATATTATGTAAAACCTAAAAATTTGGTTTTTGGTCAATTAATCCCTACCTAATACTTTCTTACATGAACTTCATCAGGCGACAGATAGTCAAAGTACAAACATGTTATGGAAAGCTATCACATATCAAATGAGGATGAGACATAATAATCCGATCTTCGTTTACCGACAATATCTATAAACAATTGTTCAAATCACACCGATTGAATGACAGCGAAAATTAGTAAACTCAACTCAGTCAACTCAAGCCTTTACAAGAATATATATATCTACGGATATATCAACAAATATTAGATTCTATAAGGTTCTTTAAAAATGGAGGATGACTTTACTATATTAAATACTACCGACTCACCTTCTCTTCGCTTCAGGTTCGCCATTAGACAAAAACAAATTTATCCTATGGGACCGTACATTTTTCCAGGATAAAAAGTAACTTACGTGCTATTCCAGACTATAATCTATCTCTGTGCCAAATTTCATCCAGATCCGTTCAGCCGTTCTGGCGTGAAAGAGTTACAAACATCCATCCATCCATCGATCCATCCTCAAAAACTTTCACATTTATAATATTAGTATGGATGATATTATTATAAAGGTTTCAAATATAAGTAATTGTTTTAATTTTAGTTTTGTTCCTCCTGCACTAAAGATGAATAGTGAAAGCCTAGTAATAAACGTGCAAATTGAAACTCTAAATAATATTCATTCCAATAGACATTTACAAGTTTTTGAATTTTACTTTTATATAGATTTTTTACATGTAGTCATTGAAGCTATGCACTCTCTCTCTCTCTCTCTCTCTCAAGCACTCGGAATATAATTCTAAAAATTTAAAAGTCACCGAAAAACTCAACAGTTACTCTTAAAATTTCTATTTTAAAATATATACCTAGTTGCTAGCCCACAACAATATAAATTCTATGTTTACGTTTTTTCTACGTTTTTTTCCCCGATTTTCTTGGATAACATCATACAATGTTCATTTACAATCAAGTAATCAAGTCGTGAAGGGTCGTTAACAAAGTTGTAAAAATGTCCGATATATATATATATATATATATATATACATATATATGTATGTATATATATATAAATTATGCAACTAAGTACGAAAAAAAAAGCCCCAACAAATATTGCAAATGTCATCAACAGTTATTTCTATAACAAAGGTGGTATACAATTGATACGGTTTCAGTCCCTTCAAAGTTTGAGCCCTTACAAACTCGTATTCTAAGATCGAAAATAAAGTAAATTAAAAGTTTAATTAAATTCCAGTTACACTTTAAAAAAAGTTTCTTAAATAGCATTTAAATTAATCAAATCTTACTAAACACTTATAAATCGCAGACAGACTTTGAAATACAGCTTCCATATATTTTTTTATTATATTCTATATGTACATATAATAAAATTGTAACTAAGCCGCATCTGTACATTAAATATTTCTTGGAAAATCTTATTGAAATAGACATTATTATCGATACAGACGCCGTATCTATAGTGTTTAGAATTTTTGTCTGTCTGTCTGTCTATCTGTTACCGCATCACGGAAAAACCACAGGAGGGATTTTGATGAAATTTGATATGATGGTAGCTGGTTATCCGGGTCAACATATAGGATAGTATTTTTCGCGGGAAAATATCTTATTTCTGAGAAAAAATACAAATATTGCAATGTAAGAGTAAACTAATATGTAAAACCTAAGAATTTGGTTTTTGGTCATATGAACGGGTGCGGATCCGCGGGCAATGCTAGTTTTTGAATACAAAATATCTCGGTACAATTATATTATACGTAATTAATAGTATACAAATACCAATTTCCCTGAATCGTTTCACAAAACATTAATTACATCATACGTGTAGTATAGACAAACCATTGGCATCGTCATATACACGTGTATCGCTCAAAATTATATTAATTATAAATAGCTTCTGCATGTGAATTCTCAATTCGCACGCACATATTCCATTTTACTTCCAACCAATTACCTAACCCTAATATCCCATGGGACAAAATTATACTATGTTACAAGTCCCATAAAGAATAGGGGTTCAAAGGGTTGAATTAATTTTGGATCTATCACTATCGAGTGAGAAAATACTTACTTTTTTTAGATTTACGCGAATTACCTTTTCGGATTTCTTCGCGGATTTGTTTTTATTTTTGATTTCCGACGTTTCGAATGTTTTACAGCAATCATTGTCACGGGAGAGATTAAAATTTTAGACGTCTCAATGGTAAATAGTAGTTTTAAATTTGAGAAACTTTGTAAATTGTAAAATTAAAAAAAATGCTCTCACAGGATGAGCTAATAGACGGTCAAAAACTTCTTACTAATATGTTTTTATTGAAACGCCCGTACTCTACATTGAAATAGATATGGTTGGCAACCGTAAAGCTAGGAGCGGGCTTCTGACATCACAATATTAATCAATATACATATATATGATTAACGTAATGAATTAGTTGCCAACATTTACAATAAATATATAATGTAAAATCTTTCACACACATCATATGTGGTATATGTAGTAAGGGAGAAAAATGCATCCCAGAAATGCCTATAATGACCAACTACATAGTGACCTTTGAGACATATAAAACCTCTCCCGTTTGGAAACGTCGGAGAACAAATGAAAATAAATTCGTGAGAAAGTACGATAATATAGTTTCATTTGAGACTAGCTACTAGCATTGCCCGTCTCTGCGCCCGCGTTCAGATGACCAAAAACCAAATTCTTAGGTTTTACATATTAGTATACTCTTATATTGCAATTAATAAGATATTTTCACAGGGTAAAAACCAGCTATTATCATACCAAATTTCATCAAAATTCCTCCAGTGGTTTTTCTGTGATGCGGTAACAGACAGACAGACAACAATTCTAAATACTATAGATTCGGTCTTTGTATCGATAATAATATCTATTTCAAAAAGATTTTCCAAAAAATATTTAATGTACAGATTCGGCTTAGTTACAATTTTATTATATACTAGCATTGCCCGCGGCTCCGCCCGCGTTCAGATGACCAAAAACTAAATTCTTAGGTGTTACATATTAGTATACTCTTACATTGCAGTTTTTGTATTTTTCCTCAGAAATAAGATATTTTCCCGCGGTAAAAAGTATCCTAGGATCGCGCGCTACATCGCCCGGTTTATATAGCTTGAGCAGGCGGTCGAGCGATGCGGGGCAGAGGGGATGGACTCGCCGTAGGCATCTCAATGCTCGCCAAGCATTAAAAATGTTTCGCTACTAATTACTTCTAACAACGATATCTCAAAAACTATTCATCTGATTGATTTAGTGTAAAGAGCAATTTTAATCTGCATTAAATGACTAAGCTAACTAAAATATTCATTTGGATAAGGATTAATACCGAACTAAAGAAAATAACTTTGAAAATAACGTAATGTTTTTAATTAAAAATGTTAACATAAAAGTGGTTATTGTAAGTCAACCGTAAGAGATAGAGATATGCTATCGCGGACTTTTTTGTAGTATTTTTATAGATTTTGAATTCTCTAGTACATTACTTAACTGTATCTTTGCTAGTTTACGCGGCGTTCGCGTGGAAAGTTCCCATTTGGCGAGATTTTTTGCGACCTCTTCAACATTTGTCGCCGTATTTCAGCTAATTTACATAAAAGCATAATAAATTATATACCTAAACCTTCCTCAAGAATTACTCTTTCTATTGTTGAAAACCGTATAAAAATCCGTTCAGTAGTTTTCGAGTTTATCGCGTACAGACAGACAGGAGGACAGACAGGAGGACAGAAAGACGCGGCCGGGGGACTTATTTTTATAATAAGTATAGACTAGCGGACCCGACAGACGTTGTCCTGTCTACACGTCTTTAATTTGAAAATTTCAAACTTTTTTTAATAATTTTTTTGATGAAAATTATTATTCAAATTGTGACTCTAAACCATTCCCAGATCCCCTTAAACACACACAAAAAATTTCATCAAAATCGGTCCAGTCGTTTGAGAGAAGTTCAGTGACATACACACTCACAGAAGAATTATATATATAAAGACATAGACAACGGTGCCTATAAAGTTATTTAAGAAAAACGTCCACTGATTGCATGTAATTACAACACCACTACTATTCAGCTGCAAAAGTTTGTTTGTTGACCTGTCCTTCTTCTGTGTAGCAAATGCTTTTTTGCATCAAGATCATTTATGAGTAGAGGAGAACGGTACTATTACTTCTTACTATCAGAAACTTACACGGATGGCACCCAGACGCGATGTCACCTTTGAAAAGACCTCCTTTGTCAAAAAGTAAATTCAAAAGGATGACGTCCCTAAAGCGCGACACTCCCAATAAGATGACACCCCCAATAAGATGGCACCCTTAATAGGGTGACACCGAGGGCGAATCGGTCTGTTATTATGTTATAAAAATTATGAAATAAAAAAAAACTTGAAACTCACGAACAAATCTATCAATAAACTTAACTCACCTGGTTAGCAGCAATGAAGTCGGGGTCGTAAATGGCGGGTCTTGGTCTCATTGGCAACATTTCCTTACGTAACTTCTGTTGCAGATCGTAATCTATGACCTTGGCGCGGACCATTGCGTCTGCCAAGTTCATTGGGCTTATGTCCCAACCGTCGATTACTGGTCGAGAAAAAAAACTTTAAATTGAACCACATAAATGGTAGAATCTTGTTATTGTACTGTGATTATTTAAAAAGAATGGGGTTAGATTTTCTGCAAGATCTTTTTCTGCTATTCCCCAGTTTCGGAGAAATATAGAAAAATTCATTGTTCATTAAATGGATTCGAATGTGGTATATTTTTTTACTTGTACACAATTATATACCTATCCTATCTAGTTTTTTATGTCACAATTTAATTTTATATTAGTCTTCGTTTACACATTTTGCATTAAGAATTTTGTAACTTGCTGGATATTTTGTGGGTCGGAGAGTATCACAGGCGTTTTTATTTTTATATCCAATATTAAGTAATTTTTCATGGCATACTAATTTAAACAAAATGTCACTATGGAATTCACCTGACCGAAGTTAATTATAATCCTAAAGGATTATGCATACGACGACTTATTAACGAGCTGCCTTACAACTTTTTTCGAGTTCGAGTTTGTATCATTATTTAAGTTTATCAGCGCAAAATATGCGCAGACGACATACGTTCTTGATATGCACATCATCAGTGCGTTTATGAAACGTGGTGTGCTTAGGCCCTTTTAAAAATATTTCACCGCAGAATACCGGAGTGTGCATAGGCCCTTATATAATACCAACGCTGAATATACCATACAAGAGGCTATACTTCCTTATTATTGTATTATGATTGAAACAAGATTAACCTAGTAAAACTCCAGCTGACCTAATAACAAGTATTGATTTTGTATCCTATTTTCAATGCCTGTACAATCTGTACCAGGATGCTGGTCAGTAGGTCAAGGTTTTAATGTTATTGGCTAGGTCTAGTCACTAAGAGAAATAACAAACCTGGCTTTCAAGTTTATTATAGACCCTAAAGCTGTAAATTTGATTTATTTACATAGTTTATAACAAATCACCATTTCTAATAAGCATCACTAATGAAGATAAAATAGATTTGAAAAAATGTTTTATAAATTAAAATATTCATGTTGGCATTTAGTCATGTTTTTCAGTGAACTATTATAATATACGATTATGAATGTTAAAAAAATGTTTTTTGTATTTTTATTTATTTATTTTTATTATTTGTTGTTATAGCGGCAATAGAAATACTCTCTGAGACGGACGGACAGAAGAGGCCTTGTAATAGAGTTCCGTTGGCACCCATTGGGTATGTAATCCTAAAACAAGAGATTGTATAGCTTTTATAGAGAGTATTACTTCAAAGTTCAAACACATATTCACAATACGATACTTTGCAGTATTAGTAATGACAACTTTTAGCCCCTTTTAGTAAGTTTTTTGATGGGCCCTTAAACATTTTTACTCCAAATTGACATTAGTAAAATATAACGCTATGTATGGTATATTTAAAATAATATATAGTGTTAAAATTATTACTTACAAAGATCATCTGGATGAACCATGGGCAGAAGGCTAGACATGGTAACATACACATCTTCACCCTTTTCATCCATACCAAGACGCACAGTTGATGCTTGTGTAATTGAACCGAACCTGGTTAGAGCATAGAAACAATAAGATTAATAAATTCACTAGCTACCTAACTGACAGACAATGGACAGTATAAAAACTCTTCTTCAATCTAGAAGCATTAAACTAAAGAATTCCATATATAACATAGATGGACACTGAAAATCGATTTTGGACACCTTTATAATTCACCCCAAAACTATTAAAACAACCAATCTCCTTCGCATCTTCTTCATTCTATGTGACATTGGCAAAGTGATCTGTGCTCAACTGGCATGCTTTGAGGACATTAACGAGAAAAAAAAACCTTTATTAAAACTAGGTATATGGAAGTTCATTATTTTTAAATATGGAAATTAATAGTCTAAGCATCTAACTATTACTAAATATAACAGTAAAATAGTAAGAAGTTTGTCTATTTAAAGTATGGATTGATAATAAGCCTAATTCATAAAATATCTAAAATAAATATTTCGCTCACCAATTAGGTTTCATTTGACCATTCTTAGTGTTCCATGAAATTTGGTGCTTATTTGCCAACACTGCTGCTGTAAAGGTAGAACCATTATTGCCACCCCAACCTACCAACATAACACCCACTCTACCCACCTTCCGACCTGTTCGGATAGATATTGATGTGCGGTATGGCTTTGCCTATGAAAAAATAAAGAATAGGGTCTCATTTTAGATATAACATACATACAAATCAGTTATTAGAAGTACTATTACAAAAATGAAGATTTTCTTCTTATTAGAATATATTTAAATATGTACATAATACATAAATTAATATGTATGAATAAATACGTAGGAAGGGCTGTATTTTAAGTAAGAAATAATAAAGTTGTTTTATTTGAGAACTTACAATCAGCTGTGCTTGAAATGATAAGCAAAACATATTACTTTAAAAGTAAATAACAAGCAATTAACAAAAAAAAACGCATTTTTAAGTACAATCTAAAAACTAAATGGGAATATCTCAGACCAATATTTTTATTGGTCTGAGGGGAATATAGATTAAATATAATATGTATATACTTAATTAATATTCAAAACTAATTTATACTATTTGACAACAAAAACAACCAATCTTTTCCACAGATTTTTATGGATGTCGACGGATCGATATGACCGGCCCAGTACTTACTACTTATTATAAAATTTTTATGTTATATACTTACCACAAACTCATTATCCTTTTTCGCAACTAAAGTCTCATTGTATTCATATTCAGAAAATATATAATCATCGGTATATTTCACGTTAGGAGACGAAACAGTTATTTTTGAGGTTGTATTCATTTTGACTACACAATTTTAAAAAGTTATTTAAAAAAATCAGTGAAAGCTTATATTATAGGAAAAATTAATATTGATTTTACTTTATTATTACTTAGTCTACGTCGTAGTTAAATATTTTGCGACGTGCTTCTCTAACTCCAAGATTAACGAAACAAAACTGAAAACACAGACCAAATACGAAACACACGTCAACACACCGGCGAAGAAAAATGCCAATTGCCAAATGCCAAAATTCCAAATGCCAATTGAACCACCACAGAATAACAAGTTTGAAGTTACAAGACGGAAGACCTAACAGAAATGAATTGACTGATTAAAAAACCAGAATATATAACCTACAAAATGAAAGGTAAGATATAGTTCAATATTTCCTATAAAATTAATTTATGTTTTATGTCGCCTAACATGTAATGAACATTATTTAATTATGATATTAGTAAATTATTGTTGTAAACTCTACAAATACATTTACTTAAAGTATTATCTGTTACCCTTTAGGTAATATTTAAATATTGTCAAAGTGACGTTGTATTGGAAAGATTGGCAAAATAATCAATTTAACTTGATTGGTTTGAGCCGGTTAAAAAATATAAGATCAATCCTAAATTATATAAATTACTATTATAATGGCAGGCAAGTATTGGTGCTTTTAAACTGAATCTATAGGGTAATCTTTTAAAAAATAAGGCAAAATGTTTAAACGCAGTTTCTGATTTTTTGTTTTAGATAATCAAGACTCACCGATGGCTAATAATGAAGCAGATGCATTGCCAAAGGAAGTAAAGGTTAACAATGAGGAAAATAGAAAAGAATCTCCACCACCTCCAGCGACCCCACCTCCAAATGAAAATGAAAACACTCGAGAACTCATTGTAGTCAATGAGAATACTGAGATCTTGGACTTAAACCATGGCAAAATTGGAAAAATTGAAAATTTAGAGCCACTCCGAAATTTAGAAAGGTACTAATTACAAATATTTAAATCTGTCTGTATGTATATATTGGTATTATACTGCTACATTTTACATACCTACTATTTTTTATTGTTTATTTGGCAAATAAATAATTAATATTCTAGTTGTCACTCTCATCAAAATTTTGTAGACTCTACTTGCGGTGGAATTTAATAAAGAAAATAGAAGGGCTGGATACCCTCTCTACTCTTGTGGAACTGGAACTTTATGACAATCAAATTGTGGTCATAGAGAACTTGGATAATCTAGTTAATTTAGAGTAAGTAGCACTGAAATATAAAAATAGTTTAAAATCATTTTATTATTGCATAATATTATAATTGATGATTCATACCTGCTAGACGAATGTCTATAAAAAATAGCTTATTGATGAACAATATTAAGGATGACTTGCACTAAATTCTTAACTTGATTTAAATGGCTAAAATATGTAAATCAAACATTAAATTATACTATTTTACATATGAAGCTGTTGCCTTCAGCATTTACCAACTTAATCAAATTTTGTAGCAAGCAGCCCTAAGTCTTTTCATTTTTATATCTGATTAGTAAGTCTCCCTAGCTTTTAGGATTCATCCCTAGACCAAAAAGATTATCCCACAGGAACTATACATTTTTCCAGGTTAAAAAGTAACCTATGTGCTATTCCAGAGTATAATCTTTGTGCCAAATTTCATCCAGATCCGTTCTGCCTCTCTGGTGTGAAAGAGTAACGAACATCCATCCATCTTCACAAACTTTTACATTTATAATATGAGTATATAAGAGTATTTTACCATTATCATAATTTTTTACATAATTTACAGGATTCTAGATTTATCATTCAACAGAATCAAAGAAATAACTGGCTTAAATAATCTTTTAAATTTGAGAAAACTGTTCTTAAGTTCAAATAAAATAACAGAGATTAAGAATGTTAATCATTTACCAAAGCTGGAATCCCTTGAACTGGGGGACAACCGTATAAGGGTATACATATATTTTGAATTTTTATCTAATGTAACAATCTTGTAAATTATCGAAAATTTTAAATCAGCAGCTTTAATTTCTTTTGTGTTTTGTACAAGTTTGTTGATATATCACTTGACCTTAATTTTTTGCATGAATATATAAATATCAAATTATTACAATTTTTTACAAGCAAATCATATATTAAACATAATTACTATTATATTTTGTATGTTCTAGGAAATAAAAAATCTTGAAGGTTTAACTACACTAAAAGAGCTTTATCTCGGAAAAAACAAGATAACAAGAATACAAAATTTAGACGATCTCCATAGTTTAGAGATACTTGTATTACAAAGCAACAGACTCACTAAAATTGAAAATCTTGAACAACTGACAAATTTGGAACAGTTATATATCTCTGAAAATGGTCTAACAGCAATAGAGAATCTGCAAAGTCAAGTCAAACTTCAAACATTGGATTTGGCACTTAATAAGATTACTGTAATTGAAAATGTGAGACACATGAGTGACTTAGAGGAGCTATGGGTGAGTTGGACTATTCTATTACAATAATCCTTATAATATAATTGGATAATTATTTAAAGCAAATTCCTTCAATACCACCACAAATACCAGTTTTTAATCTGTACTAATATTATAAAGAGGCAGAGTTTGTTTAAACACGCTAATCTCAGGAACTACTCATCTGATTTGAGAAATTCTTTTTGCATAGATATCCCGTTTATTAAGGAAATCATATATTATATAGTCTACCTTACCATACTAACCTTCAAAATGTAGACCTAGGGACGAACCCGAACAAAGCTAGGGTGAGTTGCTAGTTAATAATATAAAAAAAACTGCTCTATTATACAAGGTATAATGTTTCACAAATTTAAACTCTTTTTAATACCAATACATACATACATTTACTAATTTATTAATGTATAATTCTTTTCAACAATATTTTATTTTAGCTAAATGACAATCAGATATCAGAATGGTCATCAATAGAATACTTGGAAGAAAACAAAAAGCTGGCCACAATCTATTTGGAACGCAATCCAATCGCTTCCGATCCAGCGTACAGACGAAAATTGAAACTCATGCTTCCATCTCTGAAGCAGATTGATGCTACACTGTGTAGATAAAATACTTTATTAGACGTAGCCTATTGTTTGTTACACAGTATTATTACTACCAGAACAATATAGACGTAAAAAGTACGCATTCCGTGGAATTGAATTAGCTGTTTTATTTCCAAAATAAGTACTATCTATGATACAGAAAATCTAACCTATACATATAATAAAATTGTAACTAAGCCGAATCTGTACATTAAATATTTTTTGGAAAATCTAATTGAAATAGACATTATTATCCATACAGATGCAGAATCTATAGTTTTTAGATTTTTTGTCTGTCTGTCTGTCTGACCACATCACGGAATAACCACTGGAGGTATTTTGATGAAATTTGGTATGATGATAGCTTATTATATGGGCCAACATATAGGGTAGTTTTTTTACTATGGAAAAATATCTCATCTCTGAGAAATCTATATGTTGGCCCATCAGCTATCATCATCTATAACGGAAGGGGAGATGAACCCGAACAGAGCTAGGGTGAGTCGCTAGTATAATTTGTGAAACTAGTTACAATTTTATAAATTAACTAAGCGTTCTAGCTGGTTCTACACATTTTTAGCCTGCAAACCTTATATAATCTCCTAAATATATCAAATCACTTCGATTTAAAGGTACACCCTGTAAGATATAATGTTATCCTTTACCGTATTTATATAACAAAGAAAGACTTATTATAGCAATGTTAAATTCCTTTTTTTTTTCCAATATTAAAAATACACATTAACATGTGTCTTACATTTTTTATAATAATAGAAATAAAACTGCAAATTCGATTTCTGAATTTCGAATAATAAAAGCAATATATTTTTACTAGTACATTAAAATAAATTAATAATATTTTTATGAAAAAACTAGCTAAAAATCATATTCATATTATGACGCAATTTCAATTTACGTCGTTGTTGTTCTACTATCATATTTAGTTTTAATCATTATATTTAAATTTAGCTATAAACATTTAACATAAAATGTATGTAAACTCTGTTATAGTCCATTTGTCCCCATCCTCCTCATTGTATGGCAGCTAAGTTAAAATAGGATTGTAATCATTCGTCGTTGTATTTTGTTGTAAATTGGGAGTAATTAGTTATTGAAACTTGTTTGTGTATTTTTAACATCTCACCCCTTTGTTTAACGTCAAACTGCTGTTCACGATCAATCGGGCCTCCCTTCAATACGAGGGGGATCAGGCCATAGTTCACCACGCTGGCCAAGTGTGGGTTGGCGGATATCACATATCTTTCCAAAACTTGTAGGTTCTCTCAGACACGCAGGTTTCCCCTCGCGATGTTTTCTTTCGCCGTAAGGCAAGTGGTAATCATGATGGAAATGATTCGCACATGAAAATATCAAGAGTTGCGAGACTCGGGGTTTGAAGCCGCATCACTCGGTTTTCCAAGTGAACACGTTACCACTGGGCTACCACTGCCACGAAACTTGTTTACATTACATTATTTTATAAGATCTTTAGCTAACATTATCGGTAGATATAGAGAATCAAAATATATGTATTTTAAATATCTATAAAAAAAATCACCATTTCGTCTGACAACTAAACATTACTAAAGTATGACCCATATATTATATTATAAAATATGTGGCCATTCTAATTAATCTCCGTCCGATTTTTTCCTATAATAGTTTCCATAACGCATAAAGGTACCAAGATTTTAATAGTTGATCTGTTTTTTTTTTCATTAATTAATGAATAAGAAGATTTAGCTTATAATATAATATCTAGACTAACCTTAGATAAGCTAGTATTTTTAAAACTCGATTCCAATCCACTATAAGTATTATATACTCGACAATACAACTTACCTTAATCCTACCAGTGCCTATTCAAAATTTGCTGTTTAACTATGAACCATTCTTTATAATATCGATTAAAAAAGTCTCATTTCTAATAGAAGAGGAGATAGCGTAGCATTTTTCATGAATTGAAATGAATTTCATTTTATACTGAACTATTAAATCGCTGTTTTAGCAAAGGTCGCCTCGTGTACCATTATCTATCGTTTCTCTATTTTTTTTTTCTTGGTTGTACAACAAAGAAAAAATTATTATTATATTTATGTAGGAAAGTAAACGTCAGCTAATTATTATTCAGAACGTATACTAAACGCTACTAAAGAACGCTAATAAAGCTAACTTAATCTTTCCCTTTCATCAAAAATACTATTTAAACAAAATGCTGTGTACTTGCAATATATAGTGACACTTTTTATTATTACATACTTTTTATTATATAGTAACAGTTTCACTGAAACATTTTTTTTTAATATATATATATATATATATATATATATATATATATATATATATATATATATATATATATATATATATAAATGAGACTGATGTATCCTATTGCTACTTCAGTAGCTATCGCTCAAAGCTCTAATTTAGTAAATAAACGCCAGTCCTATTGTAAATTTTATTCGGTATAATGACTAGGTGAAATGCTACGCTACCTCTTATACTATAAAGTATGTTTGTAGAATGTATATTATACAATATTTTTACACATATTGAAAAGTAGTGTATTAAAATATAAATCAAATAAAAACCTATTTGAAATTTAAATCTACAATTTATTAACTTGCAACTAAAGGAATTTATTTATAAATAGCATTTGAACTAAAATTTAAGTATTATGGGTAATGTACTGTGTTGCTGTGTATACTGTAAAATGTAAAGTTGTTTTTTATTTAAATATATAAAAAATAATATCTTGGGTGTCTATGTATCTCAATCTGTCCAGCTAGCGTAGTGTTTGGCGCGGATCTAGTTTTAGATGTTAGATCTATTTTTGTGGTTCCGTAACATTAACCCCTCCCTCCCCCTTATCAGCAAAAGTAGGCAATGCTCTTACTCCCTCCCTCCTGTGCTTTAGTAAACATTTATTTTGGGGAATCCCTGCATGTTGCTTTTCGCATTTGAGCGTAGACAAGTCGGGTTGTCATGTGTGTTGTAAACACATTAATTAGACAAATCAGTATCTACTAAATTATAATTAATTATTTATTAATAAATAAATATTGATGACTTAATTACCGTCGGGACCCCTCCTGTACCTGACCCATAAATCAACGCCTGGCAATTGGCATAGTCCACTTTACCGTAAAATCTTTATGTATATTTAATAGTTAAACCGAGTAGTATTTTAGTTGTTTGGCGCGGATCTAGTTTTAGATGTTAGATCTATTTTTGTGGTTCCGTAACATTAACCCCTCCCTCCCCCTTATCAGCAAAAGTAGGCAAAGCTCTTACTCCCCCCTCCTGTGCTTTAGGAAACATTTATTTTGGGGAATCCCTACATGTTGCTTTTCGCATTTGAGCGTAGACAAGTAGGGTTGTCATGTGTGTTGTAAACACATTAATTAGACAAATCAGTATCTACTAAATTATAATTAATTATTTAATAATAAATAAATATTGATGACTTAATTACCGTCGAGACCCCTCATGTACCCCACTCCTCCTGGCCCTGACCCATAAATCAACGCCTGGCAATTGGCATAGTCCACTTTACCGTAAAATCTTTATGTATATTTAATAGTTAAACCGAGTAGTATTTACAGTTTACACGAATAATTAATTGATATTTTAAATTTTAATCCGTAAGCTGAGTTAGTTCGTATTAGTAAAGACTAGCAATGATTTATAGCAGGTTTTCACAAACTTTCTTCTGTTGAGCCTTCCCGGATTATAAAAAATATTTATATATTAAAACGCACATTGTTTTAGCGATTTAAATTTTTATGTCCCCCTTTTATTTTTTTTATTATAATAAAACACATTATTTCAACGATTTTTATTTATTTTAATTTTAAGTAATACCAAAGGATGCCCCCCTGGTTGGGAACACCTGGTTTACCTTTATGTTTATGTTTTTATTATTAGATAATTATCGTTGTATTTTTCATTAAAAATATTTAAATACTTAAGCTTTCAAATTATAATGATACCCTTTTATTGAATATAAAAACATGAATACTGTAGTGTTTCATTTCCAGGTAGTCTTGGAGTCCTTCAGCAATCTTGTCCAAAAGGAAGCTGCTCACGAACATCATAGCATACTTGGTAAAGTCAGTTTTAATGTGTAAATATAAAATTATTTATAATGTCTTTTGTGTAATAAATTTTATTGATAAAATGATTTCGTTTTATTTATAGCTTTAATCGATATTTTTAAATTGCTGTTCTTTGCTCTGTTTTAAAAGTAGATCAGTAAATCGATTGTATATTTTCTTTATATGTATTAGAATTTCGTAAGGAAACAATACCGTAACGTAATATGGATTAATTGTTATTAAACAACCATAAAGACGAATAATAAAATGGTGGCTAACAACAATCACTATTTACTCGATTATTTTCTTATCTGTCCAACTTTTATGATAAATGTCAAATACATACAAAAGTCAAAGATAGTAATTTTTTCTGTGCAAAAGTGGCTGTTTTTCTGCAATTTCATGCGCATTGTTTTAATTTAAATTTGAAAACTATTTTTATTATTACTTGTAGTTTATAGCAACACAGTGATTTGCTCTGAATAGTGTTAAAACAGTACAATAAGATATAAGTAACATTACCGTCCACGCGGAATTGTTTGTTCATTGTAATGGAAAACCTTGACCAGAGTAACAATAAAAACGTGTCGCTTAGTTTAATTGCCGAATATGGCTCGGAATCTGACTCGGAGGACACAAGATCTAATGATAATACAGGAAATGATGATTCAGATGCAGTGGAGCTTAGTGAAATGGTATTGAAAAATAATATTATCAATGCTTGTGCTCATGGACCACTCTCGGATGGTGATAGTGATGTAGTGGTTACAAGGCATATGATAATAGATAGTTCAGAAAGTGGTGTGGTAGAGTATGATGTAACGGAGTATAGAGATATGGACAGCGATTCTGATTCAAGCTCTGATGATTCTAGTGATAGTGAAGTAGATTCTGTTAAAGATATTGAAGAATATTCCAGCGGGTAATTTTATTAGTATTTATTATTGAATACCTATATTTATTATTACATACCTTTATTTTCTATGGAGAAAATGTTATTTATTTACTAAGAGAATATTTTGTTTCTAGAAATGAATTGGAAGTAAATAGTCGATCTGGAAAAATTGAACCACCTAAAGTACATGGTGAGCTAGGTCTTGATGACCTACCACCTATAGAAGATCTCGCCATAAGCTTGCCAGCTCAAGAAACTGCAAAAATTGGAACCATTACTAGCATAGTAGATAGATTAGGTAAAGATTTTTGCCTTATTTAGTTATAACAAAGTTATGTGGACATTAATTACATAAGGTCAATATTGATTGGCCACTAGGAATTATATAATTTTGTATATGGTGCCTGTGTTTAGATATGAGTTTGAATTGAAAGTAGTTTTAAATATTATTATTTTTTACTTATAATTAGTGAAGTTTAGTAATATACTGTATAAAATAACTTTAATTAGTAAATTATTTAATACTTAAGCTAAGCTTACTAAGCCTAATATTTTGTTTTCTGTAATCTAATTATGCATTGCAATTTCATACACATATAAATCTTCTATTTATTTATTATACAGGTTTTTGAAGTTATAACTTTAATTTTTAATTTCTACACATGTAACTGTACAATTACCTGAAAGTTCAAAGTGTAAATCATTCCTTTTCAGTGGTAGTGAGAGCATTCCCTGAAACACCCGCAGTTGATTTGGACAGTATCCTGTTTCTTGAAAATGGGGCAAGGGCATTAGGAAAAGTATTTGATGTTTTTGGACCTGTGAGTAAAAATTGTTTTAAAACTATCCTAGCTAATAGCTGTATGTGTCAATACTAATTTTATAAAGAGATAAAGTTTGTTTATTTATTTGAATGTGCTAATCTCAGAAACTACTAATTCGATTTGAATTTTGCGGACTCCTTAAGGGAGCGAAGCAGTAATCATAAATATCAACAAATCGGGCAGACTTCCATAGATTACTGTAAAACTGATGTTTTTTTCGGAAATTTGAATGCGGGCGAAGCCGCAGGTATTGCAAATATGATATATATAGCTGTGTAAATGGCCATGCTACATTTACTGTGTCATTAAATATTCTCTTCTAAGTTTTTGTGTAAATATATTTGGGAGCGAGATGGTTTTTCAAATATTTCCCTTAACCACTATGATTATACTATCTACGGCTACAATGTCTAAGAATATTATGTTTATAATCTCCACTCTCTTTATAGCAAAAAACAAGCTGAAAAAGAAAATATAAAAAATGTTGATTTGGAGAATGGTTACAAAAAAACATTTTTTTTTAAAGATTTTTCAAAGTTTAGAAGAATCTTTCAAGTACAATACTGTTTAGAAAAATCTTTGAAAAAAAATCCAAGTTCAAGTTTTTTTTAATTTACTATCCATACAAAGGTCCCCAAAATACAAGAAACAAATATGCATCTAGCTAAAGTACCAGCTCATACAAAAACTATATTAATAATATTTTAAGTCGAATCTATACATACATTTTTTTTTGAAAATCTTATTGAAATAGTCATTATTGAGGCATATATGAGGCTGAAACTACAGTTTTTAGAATTTGTGCCTGGGTTGAGTTCATCACAAGAAAACCACTGTACAGATTTTGATAAAATTTAGTATGATGGTAGCTGGTTATCCAGGTCAACATATAGTTTTTACTACAGGAAAATATCTCGTCTCTGAGAAATCTATATTTAATGTTAGAAAATAACTAGTAACGGACCTGAGCGAGGGTGAATCACTAGTTTAAAATAATTTTAATGTTAATGAACAAATCCTACTCTAAAAGTAAAATAATTTGTGAGTAAGTCTAAGAAAATTTTCAGTTAAATTCATGAACTGTAAACTAAATTAAAAAAAAATATTTTTGAATATTTTCAGGTAAAAGAGCCCCACTATTGCGTGCGTTTCAACTCTGAAGATCATGTAAAAGAAAAAAGAGTTCATCCTGGCATGGAAGTATTTATAGCGCCCAAAAGTCAACACACTAATTATGTCTTCCTCACAGAACTTATGAAGTAAGTTTTGTTACAACTAATCTCTTTAGAATTAAAAAAAATCCTTTTACCCAATGCAAAATACTGAATCTTACTTTTAAGGGAATTAAGAAATAATTGTTCGTTTGATCCCTTGCTGTATTGTTATTACTAAAACTTTAATTATGCAATTAATATTTAAGGATTTATTATATAAATCGTACACTTTAGAAACACTATTACTTGTAGTTCCTCGATAAAAAAAAATCCAAAATGATCTCTAAAAAACAAAATAAACCCTTAGTGCGGCGTAAATAATTTAAGGAAGTTCATCAGTTTTTTAATGATAACAAAGTTACATTTTCAAAATGTGTAATTGTTTTAATAATACGAAGGAAATACCTAAATTCGCACGCGTTCCGTCTATCCTAGACCCCCCCCCTCCCCCTCTCTGTCGTCCTATACTAAAATAAAAAGCTCAGTGCCCCTATAAATAAAACTATCTTTTTGTTTTTTTTGAGCGGATTTATTTTTATTTTTGATTCTCGACGTTTCAAATGCTTTCCAGCAATCATGGTCACGGGAGAGACTACGCAGAATTCCGAAAACATAGTTTTATTTAAAATGTCAAATATTCATACAAATCTAAGAAAGTATTAATCTGACTTACATTTTTAGCGTGTTTTAGTCTACCCTATACATTTAACACTCATATTACGTTATTTTCAGAGCTAAAGGTTCCGATGCGTCATGGTTAAACGATATTGAACCGCCTCCGAGCCACGTCGACTTTTCTGATGATGAAGAAGAAAGACGAGCCAACAAAGCAAAGAAAGAACAAAAACAAAATAAACAAGAGTCATCTGATAATGGCGAAACCTCGAAGAATCCTCCCAGAAAAATGCTCGAAGCCAGACGTAATCATCGACCTTCAGAATCCAGCAGTAGATTCGGAGGTTCGAGCCGCGGCCGCAGTTCTGTACCACCAGGCTTTAGAAGGAATCCATTCCACTTCGCAAGAGCACAACGGCCATGGGATGATCAGGAAATGAGAACCCCTCCACCTCACCCCAACGTTGACCCCGGAGGTCACTTTATCGCTCCACCAACATTCAATCCAATGTTTCCTCCATTCCATCCCACAACACCACCACCATATATGATGAATAGGCTTCCATTTGCGAGAAATCCCAGAATGCAAGGATTAATGAATATGCCAGTTAGACCAAATATGCCAATATTTGGTGCGAACTACTGCAACATGCCCGAGCAGGCTCCGCAGTGGGTGAGTGGGCCTCCGCCGCCGCCAGGCACGTAATCGCACAATAAATAGGTAAGGCTTATAATATATTTAGTCAATAGCTAGTGCTGTGTTAACAATACTAGTTTGCTTATCCAAATATCTATATTTATAATAAATAAAACATATGGTAACACTGATGTGTTTCATTTTACCTTTATATCCTAAAGTTTGTTGTTATCTATATACAGAGATAATAAAATTGAAGTGTCTGGTCAAAAAAACAGCTTTTTACTAAATGCAAATGAAATTATACATGGTACTTATAAGAAAAACACAATTTTCTTTGTCTGTTTGTTCCGGCTAATCTCGAAAACGACTGGACTGATTTTGAAAGGACTTTCAGTGGCAGATAGGTGATGTTATAAGGAGTAACTTAGGCTACTTTTGTTGTAGAAATAGAATTAGAGTTCTGCTCTAAAAAATTAAAACACACCTAGGGACGTACACAGACAAAGTAGGAGTAAGTGATTAATAATATGTAAAATTATTATATTTTCTTTTACAATTTTACAATATTTAATCACTCTTCAGATGTGTTTCATTGTAATTTTCCAATGTAAATGTTATGTTAAAGCTAAACATAAATTATTTTAACTAATTTAGTTAAATCTAGATTGGTAGAAAATTAAAGGCCAATGTATTTTGTGATTTCTTTATTAAATATTTCATTGTTAGAAATTAACTAACGATCGAATTTCATAAATGTTAAAATAATAAAAAAGTTTATAATAATAAAGACTACAGCTAAAAAATACTGCTCTTGGACTATGCAGAACTAAAACGTTATAATTCCTGCTGCCCTTATTGACGAACGTCAACGAAACTGGTTAAAATTAAAAAATTTTGCACTCAAATGATCACAACGTAAAATGATAGCCATTTCACAATACAAGAATATAAAATCTCACACTACAACTAAACATTCCTTGCAGTTTGAATAAATCAATTTTGATTAAAATCTTTGAGTATAATTGCGTCCAGAAAGATGCTTACATATTGATATATTACGATTATGTAAGTTGACTTAGAAAAATATTTCTAAGATACATATAATATGTAGATATAAAGCATGAGAAAACATAATTTAAACGTAAATCAAAAATTATAATTTGTTTTTATGGTGGTACAAATAAGTGGCAGTGAAACAATATATATATAGAAAATAATAAATGAACAATTAATTGAATTTTGATAAAAATGCAAATTTTTATTCAGCCCTTTATAACGTCCCACAGCTGGGCACGGGCCTCCCTTCAGTACGAGGGGGATCAGGCTATAGTCCACCACGCTGGCCAAGTGCGGGTTGGCGGACTTCACATATCTTTCGAAAATTTGTTAGGTTCTCTCAGACATGCAGGTTTCCTCACGATGTTTTCCTTCACCGTAAGGCAAGTGGTAATCATGTTAGAAAATATCAGAAGTGCGAGACCCAGGATTTGAACCCGCTTCACTCAGTTTCCTAAACGTGCGCGTTACCACTGGGCTACCACTACCTTAAAATGCAAATTATGCAAAATTAAATGCTAATTAATATAAACAATAATAATTGTACCACCGCCTTTTCAAAAGATACAAACAAATGAGGGAAACAATAAATGCAGTCAACCGGGCAATCACTCTAACATTCCATAAATAATTATTTTCGTTTATTGCCAAACCATAAGCCCGCTACTCGGCAGCCAACGTTTATAATGTTCATAAGCGAAATCTAACTGTAAATTATTTTAATATATGTATATATTTTTTAATAATTGTACAATATTTTCAAAATATAAAAACTTCCCAAAATGGACATTACAAAGTTGTTATGTTAAAAATAAAAAACAATCATATTAAATTGTCAATAAAAGAGAGCAATTAAGTACAAAATATTAGAAAAAATTGATTATATTATATATAGCAATCCTTTATGTGTAATTACTGTTTAATTACTGAACCATTTTTATGCTTAAATCCCAACATTTACATCATTAAGACCACTGTACCTATTCCGAAAAAGGAAATCTAAACCCAATAGATGACGCTGTTGAAGTTATTAAAATGAATAGCTCTATCTATCGGAAATGGCAGGACAAGGTCTGCGATCATTATAAAACAAGTGGTTAATTCATTTGATTGTGGACTCTTGCAATATTACTACGAAATTAGCGACTTTTTATCTTTCTTTTAATGTTTTAGTGGTTATTTGTCTATATTATAAGTAGCAATCTACATTTTAATGTAGTTTAAAAATTGCTTATACTTTGTGACTTGGGAACCTCGTGCATTACACACGTTGGCTGTCGAGAGACGGCAACAGAAACATACTAAACTTAACGAATGACAACACAAAGCCAATAGGGCCATTGTAATCAACTTAAACACGAATCTAACCTACGCGGGATATAAGTTCATTGCTGGAGTAACTGATCGCATTAACTTATCTTTAGTTATAAAAATACAGATTCATTATTTAAATTAACACTCAGTAATCTTAGCTTGCCTTGAGACTCACGACAATAAATGCCTCTTGGGCTTCTTAATAGATGAATCGGTTAAATAAAATACCGATGAAATTATAGAAAACGGTAGAGCAGTCTTCCATTATATACGTAAAAATATCCTTTAACGAAAGTAGATTGGCGATTACGAATAATAAGCGTTAAATATCGATATTTTGTTATGAGTTTAGTAATTCTATATGTGAGATTGTCGGGCGGACAAAAGTATTTTAGACCACTAGTTGCTATATTGTAAACGATCACTGGTGAGCGCACGCTTTCAGTTGCGACTCGATTATTTTTGGTTATTCGTAATCGCCCAACTCAAGCAAAACGTACCTTAAAACGATCAGACGATACATCACTACGTTTAAGAATAATTTGATCTCAAAATATAAACTTAACACTAAATGAAATTATATTTAATCAGCTACGATTATCAAGGGTTACAATTTTGTATCGATTATACGTTAGGAACTATTCTACTGTACAGATATGAAGAAAATAATTTCTTAAAAATATTCATAGTAGCGAGTTAATACTTTGACGACGTCAAATCGACTTCCACCGACGTGAAGCGTGAAACATACGAATAACATAAAGGAACATAATTCTTCCACCCGAGCGGCCTGGCCGCCGACGTCACGACAGGCAAAAGGTTAAACAAATATATATCTTATACGTTCATATCATATTATGTTCTGCTAAAAATAATTAGCTAACATCGTATCACTTGTCCGTGTGGTGTTGCCGAGTTAATATTTAGAATATATTTTGCTTTATCTAAGACACTACGCTCTACGATCTAGTATTCACAGAGATGATACACTTAGACATGGAAAGGCGAAACAGCGTGTGCTTACTGCTTACTACACGATATTTTATATTTCAATGGTTAATTTTAACATATTATATTATTAGCAAAATAATTCAGAAATTTCCTCGTTTCTAATAACATCGCTCACCCTCTAATAGTAGGCACGAAGTGTCGCGATGCGAGTAGCCGCGAGCGCACAACTTATATTACGATATATTTATTATAATAGACAGCCAATCAGACGCTACTTATGAATAATTATTACTACTCAAAAATATTTTTTTTTTGATCCTAAAAATACTCATCTGCATTTTTGGGGGAAACCGAAAAAATCACATCTGCCGAATCACGTTTTTTTTAACTACCCACAGGCGTACCAATGTATATATCGCTTGATTACAAGCTTGAGATCTGTCCACAAAATATCTTTTATCAGTAATTTGCTTACTAGTGACTTCCCATTTCATTGTAATTATCGAACTAACCTCATATAATATGTAGTTCGATCGCTAACATTATCAATATCATAAGAGCGTACCGTCTTTTATAATAATAAATTACCATTAAAATGGACGTCACAGTATACATATATATATTACCGTAGTAATCAAATTACTGATACGTCCACAATTCCGCGCGTCAGTGGGTAAGATAACGTAAGTACGAAACGCTGAAGGCAACAGTACAATTATATCTACGTTTCACCATACAATTAGTAAATATGTATTACTCTATGTAGAGTTTCGGAAAATATTATAAATCTATACGTGATTATACGATACATTGTACATGAAAACCCAATTGGAGTTCCAACTAAAAAAATACTACTTTATTACGTCTACAACACGTCTATTGCATATAGTTAAGTGACAATAGCGGGTTTTCATGTAGAATGAGCTTGTGACATTTGTTCTAGTGATTGTGTCTCGTTGAGTATATTGTACAGGCGACACTCGGCGACCGTGCGATTCTAGGAAAATACCTCTACATACATATAAAAATCCTTAAACTATCATTACTTTTAATATGGCTCAGATTACATATATTGGAGCAACGAATCCGACTATGTTATGTAAATGATTGCAATGGGTTCTAATAAGACATAGCCGATCGGTTGCGACAGTGAAAAACTCGCTCGGGGGCCGAGTACCGCCTTATGTAAAGCTTTAGCAGTTACGAATAAATCTCCATTTCAATAAATAATCATTACCAATTTTTAAATGCATCATCGACAGTCACTTTGTTCATTTCAAGATCATTGTAGTAGCATTTAGCATTTGGTATCCAATTAGGCCGCAGAAACATCGTGTATACGATTATAAAGCGATCAATATTAATACTAAAACAGTTAGGAAGACATCATAATTCTAATTCCACATAACTCCGCGATCGCGTCAAGTTTCTCCGTCACAGAACAAGTGTCTGCAGGAAGATGGCACGAGCGATATATTTTCTGTCAAATTTTATTACACGCTAAGTGCCCTTACATCAACTACTGGGATTCAGAAGTGGAATAAGCGACATTGGGTGTCCGCGAATGCTACCACAATAATAGTTTAGTCTTAGCGTCTACCCCGGAAACGCAAGAGTTAATAGTAAAGAGTTTCATCCATTTCGTTAGAGCCGTTACAGGAAGACGTATTTGCCTAGTACAGGGCGTTTTGAAACAACAAAATGGACGAATTGAGAAACTGGTATAGATTGTTAGTCCGCACGACCAACGCTTTATTGCTTAAGTGAACGAACATTTTCTTTTCAATTTTTAATATATAATATAATTTGCCATTCGCAAATAAGCAAGAAAATTCTTGAAGACAGAGTGGTTCTATATAGTCATGCATACAAGAAAATATTTTGATTACAGCGAAATAATACCCAATTATTTCCATTATTCGAAATAGGAATATTCTGGAATGTTATATAATATTGACTGCATGACATATAGCTTTCAGTTCGTTCACTTTGCAACCAACCTATTTCCATTTGAAGGGTATCAAGATGATGGGGTAGACCCTAAGGTTCTCACATTATGTGTTCTCTACGGGCCTGATGGTACAGTCGCCGACTGTTGTGATGGGAGTGATGGTGACCGAGCTGGGGGTGGACGCCACACTCGCCTCCGACTGTACTTGATCCTTATCCTCCTTTTCCTCATTGGGAGGCAGCTTGACGATTTGGCAGTCTCCGACGGTCATGATCTGAGTTTCCAGGGCTACCGGTGGCACGTTCTCCTCGGGCTCGACCCTGGAGTCCTCATCATCAGACGAGGAGTCGGAGACGTCGATGGTCCGGTCGTGGGAGGTCTCGCTGGCGGCAGTGTGGTCGGCGTCCACGTTCCTGTCGGGGTCTACGCTGGTCACGCCGTAGGAGTACGCGAGCGGGTTGTACATCATTTCCGTCAAATAAGAGAAATCGCCGAATGGAAGATTTGTCGCGTTGTAGTTCTCGTTGGGTCGTCCGTCTGTAAATAATATTATATAATAAATATTAGTGTCTTGTGCTTTATGTATTACTATACCCTTACCCCTGTACATGCTTTTTTCTTCCTCGTATCTTAATCTATATTTTTCATATTTTGAATTTGATTTTTAACGTTAGTTTGGCATGCGATAGTTATTATTTATTTAAATGTTATCTTATATGTTAGATACTAGCAAAGCTAGCGAGTTAAATAACACAAATGATTAGTAATTAGCAAATTTATGGATAATTGAAAGAAAATTTTGAAATTTCATAATAAACCCTATACATACTTATTTTTGTAGAAAGAATAAACCATCACCAAATTAATAGAATAGGAAAAGAAGTCATCATGTACAATATTCCGTTTTATTAGTCCGTTATAATTAAATCATAATCTATGTATATATAATACTCTACTTATACAATACAAATACCGATTAGTACCGACAAATTTCCCATTAAATATTGTTTTCAATAATAATTTAATTTCATGCTATTTAATGTTTTATACTAACAAAACTTGCTTATTTCCGCGGCTAGCCCGTACTGCATCGGTATTGACATTTCCATACCTAAAGAAAGACTTGATTAGCTTAGCATTGTGATTGGCATAGCTAAGTTTGTATTGTAGACGTGTTATTATTAAACTTTATTTTCAACATTTTAATGGAGAATTTAAAACAAATTAAATATAAAAGAACATTAATTATATTGAAAATAAATAAAAATGAACCAATTCATGCCAATTAACTTTTAATTCTCTTCATAACAAAAGCAAAACGTACTAATTTGACGTTCTATAATTATAGAGGTAAAGTTCATTAACTTTTCTACGCCAAAACACGTATCGCGTTCCGTCCATTACTATTGATTTTGTTTTCAGTTTATATATATATATATATATATATATATATATATATATATATATTGCTTATATATATTGCTATAGCAAGTATCATTTAATTTTAATTATTTAGTTTAAGAATTCTTAATAAAAGAAAACGATTTATTAAATGCCACTAGGTACTGTAAGCCAACAACAAAATGTATATAAAGTAAATAGGATCAAACAAAAAACAAAACGAATGGATTGAACACGATGTAAAAGAAAAAAAAAGCAAATGCTACGAGGCGCTTTACACACGCACACTCACATAACAATAAAGTCTGTAAATCAAGATTCTAAGAACTTAATAAGGGGGTAAAATATAAAATATTCTCAACCTTAATCCAACTATATACGTTTCATAATAATTTACATGTTAAGATAAAATGTTAGGTCATTGTTCATATATTTTATTTAACGATTAATCACAAGTTCAAAAAAACCTCGAGTCATTGACGTCTACTATATTATAATAAAATACCCGGCAACCTTTAACTATAATGACTTTTAAATGGGTTTTTCCTTGTTTTTTTTTTTTAGATTTATGATATATTTTTGATCTAATTAAATGATATGAAAAACATGAATTTTATTATTTTATTTTTCGAGGATTTTTTTAATATACAAATAAATTATAATTAAACTGAATATAACAGCGTATCCGCTTGACGTTTGCTATGATTAATGAAAATATAATACAGCAGTGTTTTATTTTGAATATAAAACAAAGTTATATTTTTAAAATAATTCCATAAATTACATCATAATATTGTAATTTTAAGTGTATAAGATTATTCTAGTTATTTTAAGTGACTATATTTTATTCATATAATTCCATATAATCATTTGGTTTTATAATTAAAAAAAAAAATTAATAGCGGAATATAAAAAAAAACAATGTTTAAACGAAACCGCCGAGTATTCTAAGCAATAATAATAATTATGGGGTAACTTAGAATTTTGTACCTGGCTACCAAAATCTTTACCTCTACTCTGACATTATACGAAATAACAAAACCAGGTTGGGGATGTTTTGTTCTACCTGCTTTTTATGATTTGTATAGATTAAGTATAGCACTTCGGGTCGAACGCGGGACGTGTTTTTTTTAATAATTTAATTGAATAATATATGAAACTAGCGATTTGTCGCTCGGGTGCGTCTCTAGGTACGTTTTAATTTTTTTTACGCGGAACCCTAATTCTTATTCTAAAATAAAAGTAGCCTAAGTTACTCCTTATAATATCAGCTATTTCTCAGTGAAATCCCCATCGAAATATGTCCAGTCGTTTCGGAGATTAGCCGGAACAAACAGACAGACAGACAATAATTCTTATTTGTATCGTGCATAATTCCATATGCATTTAGTAAAAGCTTTTATTTTGACATTACAAACCGACACTTCAATTTTATTTATCTGTATGGATTGATATAATTGTTGCTTTTTTTATTGAATTTTTAATGATCTTAGTTAAGTATGTTTAACAAGACTTCAAAAGTAGAAAAAATATATAATATAGGTTGTTTTAATATAAACGAATGACTGTGCGTTAATATATTGAAAATAAAATAATGTTATGCACGTACAACATTATGTATACATACATATAAAAACTTAAAGTCCGTTAAGACCGTCGTTAAAGAAATACAATAAAAAATCTTCATTTAAAGTAGTTTTTTATAATATTTTGAACTACCTGTTATTGCTGTGCTAGTTTATTTAAAACAATAAATTAAAAAAAACCCAAGTTTATTTTTATATGAATTATTTCAAATAAAAGTGGTACCGATAATATTTTGTTTGGGACTATGTTAAGTACATAGTAGAAGTTAACATAGTAGATTTTAACTTTTTTTTTCTGTAAGTTCTTTTTGCTGATTTCCAAGAGATATTATAAAGGAAATGAGGTGCCTGAATTAAGAATTGGGCTGTATGGAGGTCGCGCATTTACGTATCTAGTGCTAGTGTCAATATGTAGTTTAAAATAAAATCTGAGGCTCGTAAACTTTATGACTTCGATTTCGGTTTTATTTCATGTATATGGACTATGGTAATTAAATTTGCGTAATTTTAACGTATATATCGTAATCATAAGAAATATTGTAATTTTTGTTTGTGATGTGAGCATTATTTTATTTCAAAAAAGATTTGTTCATCATTAATAAACTACTTACATAATATATAGCTTAAGATTAATGAAATACTACGAATCTAGTCTCCCACACTATTTATCTACACTACTATTATAAAGAGGAAAAAAAAATATTGTTGTATGTTTGTAAAGAATAAACATTAAAAAAAAGACTGGACCGATTTAGGTGAAATTTGGTAAGAAGATAGTTTGAGACCCTGGGATGGACATAGATACTTTTTATCCCGGAAATCATCCTTTATGGGGGTGAAAATGGGGATGGAAGTTTGTATGGGGAATCAATATATATATGTGTATGTATGTATGTGACTCACCGCCTTGCGAAGGTAGGAAGTAGTTCTTGGGCGGGCGGCCGCGCTTGCGCTTGAGCAGCAGCTGGTGCCCCGACAGCGCCGCGCTGGGCACCGCGCCGCCCGTCAGCACGCAGCCTTCCATATCTGGTTAAGCCGAGAGATACGAATACTCAGTTAAGTCAGACTACTAGTCCATACAGTCCTTTAAGGAAAGTTTAGGGACGCGGGTGAGCCGCACCAGATTGTCATACTTACTTTTATATGACAGTCGGGGAACGGCTTTATAATATACATATATGTACTAGCGACTCACCCTCGCTCCGCATGGGTTCGTCCCTAGGGTGGACCACCCTTATCACTTAGGGGTAGGAAAAATAGTTTACGTCCTATTCTCAGACCTTACAGAACATACACACAAAATTTCATAAGAATCGGTCAAGCCGTTTCGGAGGAGTTTTGTTAGATACACGAGAATTTTATATACAAGGTAACTGCAACTTATTATGTGGAATAACAGTATTTTAAATTCGAAATAGTTTGCCAAAAAAAATTATGTATTTATTTTTAACAACAAAATCAAATCGTTATTATTAAATTGGCTTAAACTAAAATTGAATTAGCAAATGTAATTTAGAAGTCTTTAATTACAATATTTATTTAAAATAAAGGCTTTTCTAAATGTATAAAATTCTAAAAAATATATTTTACTAGCATTACCCGCGGCTCCGCCCGCGTTCAGATGACCAAATACCAAATTTTTAGGTTTTACATATTAGTATACTTTTACATTGCAGTTTTTGTATTTTTTCTCAGAAATTAGACATTTTTCCGCGGTAAAAAGTATCCTATATGTTGATCCGGATAACCAGCTATCATCATACCAAATTTCATCAAAATCTGTCCAGTGGTTTTCTCGTGATGCGGTAACAGACAGACAGACAGACAGGCAGACAGACAGACAAAATTTCTAAAAAGTATAGATTCGGACTCAGTATCGATAATAATGTCTATTTCAATTAGATTTTCCAAAAAATATTTAATGTACAGGTTCGACTTAGTTAAAATTTTATTATATGTATAGATAACACTTATGCTATTTTGGGACAAACAACAAAAACTTACGTATTTTATCATTCAGTGTAATATTTTAATTGTTTTAATTAAATATATATATCACAGTTACATGTATATATTATACTAGCAGAATCTACGGCTTCGTTCGCGCTACAGCTACAAAAAATAACTTTAAAAATGTAATTATCATACAAACTTACATCCCCTATTTGCCCTCTTATTGAATGAATTTCGAAAAATGCTAAAACACATATTTATTGAATTATATTGAAGAGCATTAATACCAACTTTCAAGTGATTCTTATCATAAATAGTTTTTTGATACTCTTTCTCTCTGTAAAAAGTAGCTTATGTTACTCTTCAGCTCATTTTCACATAAAAAATCACGCCAATCCGTCGTCACCCTGTTTCGATGTGAAAGAAGGACGGACAAACAAACACACTTCCACATTTATAATATTAAAGTAAGTATGGATTTAACACAAGTTGTATCCATTATAATTACATGTATTTATTACATTCAACACAAAACTCACCAAGCGATGTCTTCGGCGGTCGTCCCCTCCGCTTCTTTATCTTGGGCGTGAGCGGCAGCGGCGTCTTGCGCGGGCGGCCGCGGCCGCGGCGCGGCGGGTCTATCAGGTCGCTTTGGCTGATCTCGTTCCGCACTGGCTCCAACGTCGAGTTTATTACCACCTGCTTTGTTCAATAAGAAAAACAACAGTGTAATAAAAATTTGACGACACGTTTGGCTCAGTTTGTAGTGACCCTCCGTGCTGTGCCAGCGGTCGCGGGTTTGAGTCCAATTGGGGGCATTCATTTGTGCGATGAGCACGAATGTTTGTACTCTAGTGCGGGTGTTTATATTTATAATATGTATGTATTTAAAGTTATATATGTGTAGTGTATCAACTATCTGGTATCCATAACACAAGTCTCGTAGCTTACCATAAAATTAGATGGTGCTTTGTGTTAATATCATATTTATTTATTAATAATCAGTTTTAAGTTCAGACTCCATTCCGTAACAGTTTACTTATTTCCATATTTGCCAAAAACAATAGTGTAAAAATAATAAGCTGTTTTAAGCCCAGCCCAGTTCCGTAACGCTATTTACTTTTTTTTTACCATATTTTCCATAGTCCCTACGTATATATGGTCACCTTTGGGAAATCCCTTATGTACTACTTCAGAGATGCATCCCGGCTGATACATTGAACAAACATGAACTTCTTAAGGGGCTTTTATTATTTTCATATTTTTTTTTCTTTTCTCTATATGTTAGACCTGTGTCCCACACAAGACTTCCAAAGTACCGGGCTGCCCGTGAAATTCAAGGAGATAATAATAATAAAGACTATTATACAACCAAGAAAAAAAAAGTAAGACAATGTACAAAAAGCCTTTTCGCTAAAACAAAGATTTTTTCCAGGCAACCTAAAGTATACGAAATAGCAAACTGTCTCTTACAGTAAAAAAGTACAAAAAGGGCGAACGATGGCAGAGTCATATTACTAAATACATAGAAAAAAGTAGAATACACTAATATATAAAAAATGAAATAAATACATCGCTTCGAGAAAAGGATGGTACTGCCGTTTCCGTTTTTGCTCGATTTGGCGGGGGCACTGCCGTGCCCCCCGATCCATAGCGTTATTAGGAAAGTATAGATACCTGAACGTTTGTGTATAGTAACTCCTTGATCTCGGATTTAAACGATAAATACATATATGATTTTAGTACACAAATAGAGTATGACCTGGAGTAATATATAGGCTACTGTTAGACAACTAAGGAAAGCAAGAGCAAGTCACTAGTTTTTTTAAAGTTTTATATAGCTAATTATATTATGGGATTGAAATATTAAATATTCATATAAGTATTGTTTATTTTTATACAATATATCAATTTATGCTTGTAGCTCAGCACGCGTGTGCAAATACCGTGAATGACGGGGAATTTCATTTTGAATTCACTTAATTGGTTGAATGAAGATAATAATGATAATATAATTCTAAATTAGAAAATAAGTTGTTGCTCAATAAAAAATATAGTAACTGTTCTATAATAATTAATAGATCAATCAGGCATAGACGGTAAAAAACTGGCTTTTGTTTGCAAAGGCTGCCTATAGACTAGAGACTTGTTTATACGTCTAATTAAAAGATACAATCCCAGGTTTTCTGTAAAAAAAATCTTAGAAGTAAATATAATGTTCTCGTGAAAAGTGTTATATTACTTAATTATATAATTAGTACGACATCCAGGTATTAATTATAAAATTAATTAATATAACCTTTTTTACCAGAAAAGATATTAAATTGATTTTTTTTTCAAAAATATATATACAATAGATAAACTTAAAAAGCAAAACTTTATCTAAATAAAATCGGACAAATCTTTTTTCGTGAAAATACGAAGAAAATATTCCTAGATATGAGGCCTAGATAGATTGATTTTTTGCCACCGTAAATGCTATACCTATTGCAAATTTCATCGAAATCGTTACAGCCGTTTAAGAGAACGTGATTAAAAATATACAAATATACAAATATTGCTCATTTAATAGTATAGGATAGGACTTTGTACATCAGTCTGTAAAATTGTGATTGAAATTCGGTCTGGAAGAATTTATGATTTTGATAATTAAAACGAATTTTTGAATAATATTTTTCACAGACACAGATCACTGATTGCTTTAACTGATCGTGCTCCTTATAAGAACCATACTCAAGATTAAATGATATCGTGAGAATACGTTCGTTCACATCATTCATGTGGAACATATTTTTCTTATCCTATACTAGCGACTCATCCTCCCTTTGCTTTGAGTTCGTGCCTAGTGAAAAACAAAAACAAATCTATCCCACGGGAATTGTACATTTTAGGGGATAAAAAGAAACCTATGTGTTTCCAGATTATAATTTATCTCCGTGCCAAATTTCATCCAGATCCGTTCAGCACCGAATTCTCTCACCACCAGATTTGACAGTGAAAGAAATAGAGTACAATTATACACACTTATTCGCATACACTTGTGCACTATAATATTGCAGTTGAAAAATCCATACAGTAGGCGATCGCCCATTGATTTTAACGGAAATGCTGCATGAGTTGCCAAAAATACCATTTATTATAGCGAATGCTTACAAGTTTTACCCATATATATTAATATTATAAAGGGGAAAGATTTTTTTATACCGAATAAGCTCCGAAACTACTGAACCAATTTAGATGAAATTTGGTAAGAAGATAGTTTGAGACCCTGGGAAGGACATAGGATACTTTTTATCCTGGATATCATCCCTTAAAGAGGTGAAAGTGTAGACGAAAAAATCCTAAAGCCATTTCCCGAGTGTTGTAAAAAAGTAAGTATGCCCGTCGAGTGCGGCTTACCCCATTCTCCGCATATTTGCTCTGTCTGTTTTCGTTAGACTATGGTATCTCCTACATACAAGGCTTATTTACATTATCATTGAGATTTACATCGCTATTACCAAAATCAGTCAGGAGGATATTAGTAATGTGCAGGTTTATCCAGGAGCACTAGTAAGAATGTATTAATAGATATGTATGTATTAATAGATTGATAACTCCTGTGCACATGTCGAAATTCATTTATTATATAATTAAAAATGTCAGACAGTAATAGACTCGCTGATAGCTAGCTTCCATAGTTAGTAAGTTAGTTTAGATTGGAGTCTGTGAAATTGTAGAGAAACTTAAAGATTATATTTCTTGGCAGCTTTTTAATTTTACCTGTACATAGATTTATATTCGAAGTAATAAAAAAACCTTTTATATATATTTTTAAATAAAGCCTTTCGAATACTGTTGTGCATTTATTCACTAAAAAAAAGTATGAGTAAGAAGTTATACTTCTTTGGCGTAACAGAACCAAATTAACTAAAGATTTCATCCCGTGTGTCACAACTTTCTGTTTGTATAAGGAATGCAGCTAACTTCATCATCTCGCTTTTTGGCAGTCGGTGTGCGCGCGCATCGTAAAAATTTTACTTGAACTTGAAAAACATGGTTAATCATTAGAAGCTACAGGCAGTGGTAGCCCAGTGGTAGCGCGTTTGAGAAACAGAGTGAAGCGGGTTTAAATCCTGGGATCTCGCACCTTTGATATTTTCATGTGCGAATCATTTCTAACATGATCACCACTTTCCTTACGGTGAAGGAAATCATCGTGAGGAAACTTGCATGTCTGAGAGAACCTAGCGAGACATGGTCAGTCCGGCCGGGGGTTACCTGGTTGCGCGGCGGCAGCATGACGTCGCCGCCGGGCGTGAACACGAGGTGGCCGGACTCGCGGTGCGTGGTGCGCACCATGCCCGACATCACCTCCGAGTTGTTCTCGCGCTTCTCGCTCATATCCACCGTGGGGTCCTCCTGCAAGTTTTGTTTATGTACCTGATGTTTTGGAATATATAATGTATTAGATTGCCTTTTTGTTTATATTCATCATTGTTATTATTATATTAATTGTTGGACAGTTCTATCATTATTTTAGTCTATGGTAGCAATATGTTAAGTATTGGACGGTTCTATCATTATTTTAGACTATGGTAAAACGGTAAGTAGTGATGCTACATAGAATATACATTTTCACACTCTAATTGAGATATATTATTATTGTAAATTGAAATAATTATTTACGGGATTTGAACCCGTGGTCTTCGTTCGAATCAGATGACATTTTTAATGAAAGAAAAAAACACATACAAAGGTATATCACAACATTTAACATATAAATACTTCACTTTTTTCATAATTAGAAACACACGTAATTTACCAATTTCCAAATTCAGGCTAAGAAAGCAATTTAATTTTATTATTAATATGTGCATAAGTATCCATCTATATAAAATGTTTTGTTGCTATAAGTTATTTAATATTATGTTAACATTTTTTCTCACAATCATTACCACTTTTTTTTTAATTTATTTACAGAATGCAAGAACAACACAATTATCGATGCTAATAATAACAAAAAATAACTTATGCACCCCATTTATATGATTATTGCCATTAAAAGAACAAATGTAAGAATATTTTCAATTAAAACAAAAAGAATGCAATACAATTACAGCCTATATTTTTTGTTTATTGGAATAATAATATTTACGTCGCAATAAGTATAATAAGACAGATCTACACTAGGAGCAATGTCACCTGTGTGTGTCAATAGTATGCCTTAGTTAATTTATTGAGATTGTTCTTTTTTTTTGCTTAATTGGCACGCTTTGAAGCCTAAATGCGTAATTTCTATGTGAATTTCCACGCTGAATAGACTGAACGAATTTGGATGAAAATTTAACAAATAGACCATGACCTGGAGTTAGATATGGGATCCTGTTAATAATAAAACTTGCCCAAAAATGGTGCTTTTGTATATCGGATTACTACATCGATCAAAAAATTACTAGATACGCAATCCCTTGCAAAAGTTCTTTTAAAACAGTCATCTATTGTGTTTAGGTAATTATTCTAGTTAAAATAAATATACAACAATGTAAATAAAACCTTAAAGCTTAAAGTTGTTTTCATAAAAAAAAATTAAATAAAAAGCGCGCTCAAATGTTCAAATGAACGCTCATTCGGCGACGACATTTTTTGTCGCTTATTGTATATCTAGTATTTTTTTGATCAATGGATTACTATCATGATTACGAAAGTATGTATAATATATACATTGTATATGTTTTTGTCGCTCTTTCACAAGAAAAGGGCTGGACAGATTTGGATAAGGTTTGGTACATAGGTGGACTATACCTGAACCTGGTTATTCTATACAGGCTACTGTTAGGTGTCTAGGGATACACCTAAACGAATTAGTTGCTAGTAATATTATAAATACAAAAGGCACCAAATGTACCCCAAGTGAAGGGTTAGTCACTAGTCTGTTATAATAGCACGTGAAGGGTTAGTAGCTAATCAGTTATAAAAGCACGTGAAGGGTTAACACTTGTATGTTTTTGTTTGTATAAACAAAATAATCACCCGCTCGCATATCTTGGTGTGCACGCGCAGCTTGTCGGAGCGCGCGAAGGAGCGGCCGCAGCCGCCGCACGTGAAGGGGCGCTCGCCAGTGTGCGTGAGGCGGTGGCGCGACAGGTGCGACGACCGCGCGAATCTGACCACAGGCATACGTTTAGACAATGTTTTCTGTATATCTTCCACTAGCGACTCACCCTTGCTTGGTTCGGGTTCGTCCCTAAGTTGATTCCCCATACAAACTTTCATCCCCATTTCACCCCCTTCAGATTTAGATGATGATTTCCGGAATAAAAGTATCTATGTCCTTTACAGAGTCGCAAACTATCTTCTTACTTCTAAATCGGTCCAGTGGTTTTTGTGTTTATTCGTTACAAACATACAGAAATACAAATATTCCTCTTTATAATAGTAGTGTAGATATAGTGTAACGAATGAGTATGGACTATGGACATATCTAATGTCCTGGCCGATTTCGGTTACGGCGGCTAATATCAATAAGACTAGCTATCTATATACGTGCAGGAGATGTTATACTTTATTTAACAACTAGCGGCTCACCCTCGCTTCGCTCGGGTTCGTCGCTAGGTACGTTTTAAATAGATATAAAAAGAAAAAATCTTTCTTTCTCACATTTTAATTATATGTTTTAATACTTACCTATTCCGGACTAAGAGAAATCCAAAAATTAAAATATCATAAAAATTGGAACGCGGTCGAACGGGATAAAAAGTATCCTATGTCCTTCTCCTGGCTCTAAACTACCTCCCTGCCAATTTTCAGCTAAATCGGTTCAGCCGTTCTTGAGTTATAAGCGAAGTAACTAACACGACTTTCTTTTATATATATAGATAAAAAGGCGCACCCGACTGTTATACTTATATTTATATGACAGCCGGGAAACTTTAGGGTTCTTTAGGGTTGACGCTAATAATTATTAACAAAATGATTATAAACATTTCAACTATATTATTAGTTAAAGTACTGTTTAGTTGTAATTGTCCGAATAATATTCTTAGATAATAAAAAAAATGAAAATAGTCACGGAAACAAAGAGAAAAAAGAAAAGAATCTTTGTATGGACTCAAAGACCACACAGAAAATTTAAATGACGACAGGACAATGTCTGTAGGATAAGCTTTTATCCGAATATTACCTGACGTCACAAATGTCACAAACATGCGGGCGGCCATCTTGTGATTCGTTAGCGCCTGAGTCTGATATTGACCCACTGGAGTCTGTCTCTTCATCATCATCCATTCCATGTTTACCTGCTTTCTCTGTAAATAAAATGGAATTATAACAAATTAGCTGAAACAAATACGTTATATTTTATTATCAAGAGTGAAATGCATGCATTAAGATTCAAATTAGTATTCTTCAATCAAGTATTCTTTCTCATTTGGAAATATTACAAGGGATCATTATTACAATCCTAATATTTATTTTGATGTCATATTGATGCCAAATTTATTAACCTATATTATCTAATTAACATACAATTTCATTAAGCTATACCGCGTTTTGCATAAATAAACATTAAAAAGTACGTAAATTAAATCTTTAAAAAATTGGAAAAGTGCGAGTCTGATTTGCACACAGAGTGAGAATCTTCCATAGCATGACATATTTTTTTTTATTCATATTACTGACGGCATAAATAAGTTTGTATTTCATAGTATTACCGTAGTAATCAATTACGAGTAAATGATTACAAATTATCTGTCTGATAACGTAGCCGTTTTTTGTATTGTTGTTATACCATACAATAAATCATGTAGATTTATTATTAATCCCTTATTTAGATATGTAAAATTAAGTTATGTATAACACGATTATTAAATATAGTGCATATTAAATTTACATTTCATTACTCTATCACAAATAATGATTAAAACTGTAAATACTATTAAAGCGTATTTTTGAAATCTTCTCACGGGAAATTAAATAATTAGCATATTTTATATCTTCATATAAAATACCGTATTCTAAACAACATTCCTAAAAATTAACAAATCTAATTTAATATAAAGTTATAAAAAAGTTATTAAAAAAATCAAATTAATAGATATTTATATTATAATTAATTAACCCAATAACCAATTAAATATGGTTGTAGTAATAAAATTGTACAATATTTTTTCGTAGAATTTTATGTATTCTATAATAAAAATTCAATTTAAATCGATCACTCTTGAAATGCGAACAAATATAATAGACATAAAAATGATCCCAAATAAATTGAAACAAAATAGGTTACAGCTTTTTCTAAAATTGTATAAAAAAATTAATATCAATCAGCATTCACTAGCACCTCACCGTCTGAATCGTCATGTTCATTGTTTGTGGGCTTCTGTAGCACCGCCAGTTGGACCACCTTGATGCCGCCGGGTTTCATATCCTCTTTGTCATTGCCGTGGTTTGTGTTTGTGGCACCTGGAACAATACACACAAGTTGCTTACTGTGACTCCGCTTATTTAAATCACTACTTATTTTATACACACTATCTTTTCTAACTATTAGCATTCGAAACCAAAATCAAAAAAAAAAGTCCGCAAAAAAATCCGAAAAGATGGATTTATTTAAAATGTCAAATATTCGCGTAAATCTAAGAAAGTATTACTTATTATACCTAAATTAAAGTTGCCAAAGGTTTGTGATTGATCGGGCTAACCTAGAAAACTACAAAGTTGATATCTGTGACAAAAGTCGGAAAAATCGTGTCTTCTGAGAACTTCCGCGATATTATAAACGAAAAGGGCAACTACGGACGCTGTTTATTATACGTGTGTATAATAATTATCAGCCGCTTAATATGAGGCATTTCAAGTCTGGTTTCTATACAAACTACTATGGAACATGTTCGGATATGATCACTTGCTTGAACTTTGAAGTGACATATAGCTTACCAACTCACCAATTTAACACGCTTTTTACAATTTTATTGAAGCCTTTTTAATAATAGATACACACTGTTTATTACTTTCCTACTACATGAACTCAATACCTGGTTATCACAATATATATATTTTTCAATTAAAGCTAAAGTTGTTAGTGTAATCTAAAAGATAAAAACATAAGTAAAAAAATCATTTTTTATGCTTTCTATACATTCACTTAGTATGACGTGAAAGTTATTTCTCGGACATCATTATAAGTGAATTTTACTGTTTATAAAGTTTAAAAAAATATATATTCGAAACAAAAAGTATTGATAACGACTGCTCATCTTACTGAGAATCTAATTTCAAGAAGTTATTACACAATTAGTGTATGTACAGGGAGTACAGTAATATGAGTACTCTTTTTTTCTCACTTTCATAGCCCGATGATCGACTTTGACATGACCGAAGAGATCAGCTCTAAGGTCCCAAGTTTGATTCCCAAAATACGCGTAATATGACCTTTAATGTATTTAAATATTGTCCAAATTGACATTTGGAGAGGTATAGAGTAAAATGAATTATGAAATAAACAATATTCGTATAAGAACCCACAACTACATTCTTTATAATACAATTTTTTTTAATATTAACACAAATTAATCATGTTACAAAACTTAGTGTTCTAAGCAGAACTCGGAGCAATAGAGCTAGGCATTCGAGGATAAATAAAAACAAGTTAGGTAAAAAAATTAAATAACTTCAAATGCTCGCTCGCCGAGATTGCTCAAAATCATTGCGACTTTAATGTAAATATTTTATTTTAGGGCGCGGCGCCTGCTTCTGTAAATAGATGTTTTTAAGATAGGCCCATAAAACGTACGCTGTTATTTTCCTCGTTAGATTTTTATCTGATAGAATTTATACTTTATATTTAGAAATTTATAACAGAGTTATAAGCATTATAATAATTATGGATAGAGAGATGTACTGAAAAAGTCTAAATCTAGTCAAGATTGGAAAATTCCATTTCGACACAAGTAAATATTTATATTGGCCATAGATAAAATATGTGAGCAATAAATACTGGAAGAATATACGTACGCCTTAATCATGCATTAAACAAAACATCGTAAGAAAAAAAAATCTATATTATAAATACAACTTTAAAGCAAGAATTTAATTGTATTAACCATTTCTTATCTGTGATTCATCTACATTATGTTTATGTTGGTTCAGTAAGTCCATATTATTGTAAAACAATGAGTTATGCATACTTATTTAAAACACATTATATTGTTACGGACTGCGATTTCAATTTATGGTCTGCAAGTTTTATTCGTCTTTTGGGTCAAGATCAAAAGTTTGGGAGACATTAAATATTTAATGATGAGATTAAATAAAAATGTCTTAGAATATTATTTAATATTATTCATTTCAACGTTTTGGGCAAACGAAACCTTTTCAAAGCATACCTACCTATTATTTCTCTTATCGCAAATTCTTAAATTTTGATAATTGATTAGTATAATTAGATTTTTCTATATTGCAAGTTATAAATATCTCACATTAAACAGATGATAAAATAATAACAGATAGTAAAGTCTTGATTTACAGTAAAAATGTGACGCCATTCGGCCATTTTATTGCATATCGGCTTACTGGCGGAGACTCGCTATTAAATTGTGAACCGTGAAAGGAAATTACACTAAATTATTGTCTTGAGACCGTTCTATTGTTGTTTTGTTGCCCACATAAAGTAACTGCGTCATATAAATAATAAGGTTTGATTTTTTTAATATATAATATAATGTTTTAGTTACGAGGTCGAATGCTGATATTCGTGTATTAGGTCCTAATCTATACATAAAATAAAATTGTAACTAAGTTTTTAGATTTTTTGTCCGTCTATCTGTCTGTATGTTACCGCATCACGGGAAAACCACTGGATAGATTTTGATGAAATTTGGTATGATGATAGCTGGTTATCAGGGTTAACGTTTAGGATACTTTTTATTGCGGGAAAATATCTCATCTCTGAGAAATCTATACTAAATGTTAAAACGTAAGTAGGGACGAACCTGAGCGAAGCGAGGGTGAGTCGCTAGTAATATATAAGTAATGTTTTAGTTCGAGGTCGAATGCTGATATTCGTTTATTAGGTCCCAGTCATTATATATACACATTTGATATTATATGCGATATTTACTAAACGTTTATGTTATTTAAATTGCAAAGCGAACACATAAAACATAATTGAAATTTGATAAATTTTGTTGCAAAATTCACAGTTTTTTATTTTGTCGCTAAGCTTATTTTATAGGTTGGAATATAAAATAAAAATTTGTATGACGCACATTCGCGAATAAAAATCAAATTATTTAGCTTAAAGGGGCCTGTGATTTGTTTGCTCTAAATTAAAAAGTATATAAATTTTCTGTGATGTCCACATAATTTATAACAGTAGCATTTATTTTTATTACTCAGTAATATCAACTCATTTGCATAGCTTTGAAAATTATACTCGTTTTAACAAATTTTTATCGTATTTCTCTGTCTGTTACATGCTTGCAAAATGATTTTTAGTAGTGTTTGTACTAAGCGCCATAAACAAAAAAAAACACAGATTACCATAAATATTAATTTTTAACATTTTTTTCTTTTGGCTCTGACACAAAAATTATTAAAACATCCTGCCTTTTTCGTCGAAATTTAATTAGTACTTGTAAATTCTTAGTTAATTTTAATCATAAAACAATACCTTAATTAGCTGATAGCAGCGCGTTTTGTTAAATATATGTATTTAATATAAGAGATAAGATATTTTCTCGTTCATTTATAATTTCTGTCAAAAATATTGTTATATTGTATTTCAATATACCCGTTGCATATTAAGCGGGACATTTATACATATTTATGAACATAAGTCGTTTAAACTTGTCTTTATGAAATACTTATATATACATTTTTTTCAAGATATTGTATATTATTTTAATAACTTTCATAAGGTTCGCCGTTAAGAGCGTTGTTTATTTTCCATTATACTTTTAAATATACTTTTTTAAAAAACCCAAGCCTAATACGAAATATTAAAATATATTGTAAGTTTTTAAATGTGACCCCAAAATTACCTGTTATTTTGGAAAACGTCCATACAAAATATATATATTTTTATTAGCTAATAAAATCTTCAATTTAAAGCTAATTTATTTTTATAATGGACAGTATATAAGCGATCAATAATAAATTTTCGAGATTTATTAATAAAAATTAAAAAACATCCTAATTTAAATATTTAAAAACCTGTTTGCCCGAAAGGGCGTTATTTAATATTCAATTATTTTTATAAACTTATATATGTTAAGTTTTCAATTAAATATAATTTGGTAAAAATACCAAATAAAGAGGAAATCAAAAAAGCTAATTAGTCTAGACTCTAGACTATACAAAGAAAATAAAGTTTTAATTTATTAAAGTTCATCAACCTTATCCATCTGAAAATTGTTTGCTTGAGAATGAGATACATAATAAATAATAAATACTCAATACAATATGTTTTATTGCAAGATAATAAATAATAATTTAACGAAAATAACATACAGTTTTTATTTGTACAAAATAATTCGAAAAGACATTTTCAAAAATGTTCAAAAATTTACACATTTCTACAAAATCTTTTAACGTAATCGATGAGAGAAAGTGATAAGAAGCTTTAGCCTTATCACAAAGACTGACTTGTTTCCATAATAAACATCTTCTCAAAGTAAAGAAATATTTGAACCAAGCGGAAATCGAACTTCCGACCTATATTATACAGTGTACATTTATTATTCTTAAAGTAAGCAACGTTAATAACTTTCACAGTGATTAATAATACAATTAAATTTTATATATTGTAGCAAAGTTACAATTTTTACTATTGTGTTCTAATTTTTCTCTTGTCTTATTAAGGAGATTAAAAATGTACGATTCGGAATTCCATTACGCGATGAAGTCATAATTTTATTATCCACGACGCCGTCTCGGCAAATTAACGCGAGCTAAATTAAATATAAATGTAATCTCATATATTTTACTTTTAAAAAGTAATACTTTTAATTAAAATTTAAGTAAATTAATTATAAAATAATAGGTATTATTATCTTAATTGTAATTTTTCAAAGGTTTTTTTTTTTGAAGTCGGTTATCGTTAGGTATAAGGGCAAAAAATATAGTGATGCGATTCTAATTTATTGACAATAACATTATATAATTATTATATTATAATATTTTATACTGTTTGAATTGAATAGTTAAGAATTTTCTTATTGTATTTAAAGACTACAGATTTACTATAATAGTTAGAATTCAGAGCAGGCCAAACAAATTTCGAAGTCAAAAATACTAGCGTGATTTTGCTGATTATGCTCCTATTCTCGAGAATTTCATATAGGTATTACACGTTAATTTTCAATTTTTGAACAGAAAATATGAATAATCTATATATAATAAAACAATAACTTAGCGAAATCTGTACATGAAATATTTTTTAAAAACAATGCTGTAATGTATGATGTACAGAAAGAATACAGACGCCAAAACAATAATTATAAAAAAAATTGTCAGTTGGTCTGTATGTCTGATTGTTTGATTGTCTGTCTGTTTGGATGTGCACATTTGACTCAAAAAATATTGAACTGATTTTATCAAAATTTTGTGTAATGATAACTTATTACTCGGGAATTCCCTCGGGAAAATGATTATATAATATCTGATTCTGTCGAGTCATCCTATGAAATTTACATGGCTACCGCTGAGTAAACCTTAAAACATACATCAAAACAATGTACTACAAAATTGTAGATCTCGAAAAGGCCTACAGAAAAGTCTGCAATATCAAGTATAAGTTTATCTCCTAAGGTACTCGTAATAGCTATTTATATGTAAAACGTACCTATGGACGCACCCGAGCGAAGCGAGGGTATGTGCTAGTGAATAATAAAAAAAATATACAAGTATATTCTTTTGTATTTTTTAAGCGTTATTTCTCTTTCTCTGAAAGAGAGATAACATAAATTAGCTTACTATTTATTTTTATTTATTAAAATAAAATCCGTTAGCTATTTTTATCTATTAACATTTATGGACTTATCACAGTAATGAATATTCTACTAATATTTAATAGTCTTTTAAAACATTATTGTTTGGCTTCATGTTTAGTTCTATGACACTCTATTTTTCATTAGTTTAAATTAAAAATATAAATAAATCAAATATATTATCAATAAATGAAAATATTTTAAAATAAATTTAAAATATAATGTATGTATTCAACAGAATTATAAGCGACACAGCGAAACTCGATCGTCTTTATAAAACAAAACGTAATAAACTCAAACACTAACTGGTTACTTAAAAACGATTTTTGCGTTATATAGAATTAAATTATATTGAGTTTTATATTTAAATATATGATAAAGTAAATTCATTAGTCGTATTGTTATTAGTTCCATATAATTATATGTTAACCTTGAGACCCTTGTTATATGATGAATTTTAGTTACAAATTGGTATATTTTTCATATAAAGGTGTAATTAACATAAATTAAATTTTCTTAATTAAAATATGTTCACAAAGAACTTTCTAGTATATGTATGTATAATTACTAATAGCAATAGATATGTTGAGTCTAGAAACAAAAGACATGAATATGACAATATGTACCTATAAACAATTATGAGGTCAGTATGACATTCACATACTAGCTATTAATGAATAATATATTACACTATGTTATAGTTAACATGAAAGTGTATGTCCATTTTTGGGTTGAGCTCCTTTTAAAGAAAAAAATGCGTTTGCCTATTTAGCATACGCGAACTTATTTCGTTTGTCCATTTAGCAGATAGAAAACCAATCTATCCCACCGGAACCGTAACTTTTTCCGTGATGATATATAGCCATTTATAGTTATAAAACAATTATTCAAATCGGATTAGGAGTTCCTAAGATTAGCGCGTTCAAACAAACAAACTCTGCCTCTTTATAATATTAGTATAAATTCAGACCCATAACGTCCCACAACTAGACACAGACTCCATTCAATGCGAGGGGAATCAGGCTATAGTCCAACAAGGTGATCAAGTGAGGGTTGGCGGACATGTACTTCGAAAACTTGCTATGATCTCTCAGACATACAGGTTTCCTCACAATATTTTCCTTTGCCATAAGACAAGAGGTAATTATGTTGGAAATAATTCGCACGAGTAAATATCAGGGGTGTGAAGACCTGGGATTTGAATTCGCTTCACTCGGTTTTTCAAGCGGTTTGCCTATCATTGGACTACCACTACCTTAATATTACTAATAATTATATAAATGCGAATTTAAGCATGTACGAATATGAGTATGTGCATACGTTGTCTTTTACATAGCAAGGAAGCAATAAATTGACTGATTTTTTGTATAGGAATGGTGTATGGACCGGATCCGGTACATCATGTGGAAATCAATATTAATTTAATGACCTCCTCAAGTAGTAACTTGAATACATAACCCTAATACTATAACCCTAAGTATAGGGTCGTAATAAATAAGTTAGAAAAGGATTAAAATAACTTATTTGTGTTATTCTATTCAGTTTTCGTTGTCAAATTAAAACTAAACTTTAACATTATAAATGTGAAAGACGCTCTGTCTGTCTGTTACGTTTTCACGCCTAAACAAATTTCGATGAATTTTGATACAGAAATAGATGGGATTTTAGAGAAAGACAGGCATTTTGTCGCGAATATACCACTTGAAGGGGGTGTAATGGAAGTCATATTTTTTGTTGCTAAAGACAAAGATGACATATTATATATTTTGGTATATCTATACATATAATAAAATTCTAATTCGAATCTGTACATTAGATATTTTTTGAAAAATCTCATTAAAATAGTCATTATTATTGCTACAGAAGCCGAATCTATAGTTTTTGAATTTTTGTCTGTCTGTCTGTCTGGGAACCATCACGAGAAAACCACACAGATTTTGATACTTTTTACTGCTGGATAATATCGCATGTCTGAGAAATCTATTCTAACCGTTACACTATAGACGAACCCGAGCGAAGCGAGGGTGAGTCGGTAGTGTATTATAATTATGGAAAATAAAAAGAGATATTTTATAATGAAGATCAAGGGAATCGAGTGTGGGAATAATAAAACCGGCCAAGTGCGAGTCGGACTCGCGCATGAAAGTTTTTGTATCATTATATATAAAAACGGCCAAAAAAAATCGAACAAAAAATTACGTTTTTTGTATGTGAGTCTCCTTAAATATTTATTTTATTCTGTTTTTTTTTTAGAATTTTTTGTTAAAGCGGCAACAGAAATACATAATCTGTGAAAATTTCAATTGTCTAACTATCACGGTTTATGAGATACAGCCTGGTGACAGACGGACAGACAGACAGACGGAAGGACAGCGGAGTTTTAGTAATAGGTTTTCGTTTTACCCTTTGGGTACTGAACCCTAATAAATGCAAAAGACGCCTAGGGACGCATAGGAGGGTATGCCACTAGTATTTTATATAAATAATTACCAATCGTGACTTATTTTTATATATTGGTAAAAGCTCAAGCAAATATAAAATTTCATAGTATATTTACCCGGTGATGTGATTTTAACGGGGCCATCCTCAGTCTTATTGTCTTCTTGGAAGCGTACAGTCATGGCTTTCTTCTTGGCTCGAAGTTTTTCATCCTCTGGTGACATTATCGACACCCTCTTTTTAGGCCTGTCGTCTTCTAACTCGCGTTTTACTTCAGAAGCTGCTGCAGCGGCCGCTGTAAGAAAAGTTGCGTATAAAGTTGATAATATTTTTGTAAATATATAAAGTATATACAGGATAGACTTATCTATCTATATATATTTATATGTATATGTATATGTATATATATATATATATATATATATATATATATAATAAATTGATGTTCGTTAGCCTCGTTTAAACTCAAAAATTGCTGGATCGATTAGAATAAAGCTTTATTTTTGTGTTATTGGGGGTGTCAGGGGTATTTTAAGTATATTATATTAATAAAAAAAAATAGGGGAAACCCATAAGAACAGCTAGAAAATCGAAAATTTCCGAATTGTTTATTTTGTATGGGAATCACTACTCCGGATTTCTTTCAATAATAGCGGACCTACCATTTACAACAATGCGTTAAGTTTAAGTTGGAAAAAAACTTTTTAACAAAAAAATAAAAACCAACTTCAAACAAAAGCACTAAAAAGTAAAAAATAACTGATTGGTAGTTTTCATTTACTATTCATACCTAATCAAATATTTTCGAAGTCGGTGTGCTTTGGCTAAGTAAAGTAAACAGAACATATTTTAAATTAGAAAAAAAGAATATAAAAAAAAATATTTCCTATAAAGCACGCTGTAAAATATATCTCGGTTTGTGTATCGATGTCCATAACTACTGTTTAAATAAGTTATATTTGATAAATGTATTAGATTTATCATTTATATGATTATATTTCACTTTTAATTTGTCACTAAAGACGTTACAAGATAACTTAAACGATATTAAATGCAAACTTATATATTACATATTTTTTTTATAAAATTGCTATCAAGACGAGAAAAAGTTTTTTGTGCTACTTGATAAAACGATAATTCTAAGAAAATATTTATACCTATATTTGAATAGTGGTTTTTTTTTCAGTTTTTTATCGTATATTAACGCCTGATAAAAGTCAGTAGACCTATACGATCTTTGGAAAATCTCGTTTGAACTTGTGGTATTTATAATAAAGTAATTCGAGGCCAAGTGTCATGTCCAAAAAGCCTGCGGCAACTGATGACACAACCTACATCGTAAGAATCGAAATGACAGTAAAAGCGGAACGTATGGTCCGAGAGACATTGTTGCAAATTTTAAAATAATTTAATACCCCTTAATTTTTATCACCTTTTTTTTATTGAAATATTAAAATTTCTATTCTTATATTAAACAAACATCATACTTTCTTAATACTTTTTTAGATTTACGGGAATATTTAACATTTTAAATTGTAAGAAAGACATATTATAATTTTATCATTTCATGTTTCTTGCAGTTCATTGAATTTAAATTGTCATATTTTTTCGTCGTCATTTATGCAGCTGTGTATATTCTATTTTTATTTATTTAATAAAAAATAATCTATGTTATGTTATTTCTTTTAAAACTAGCTACTATTATGTATGGACACATATTTTAGTTAATATTCGAAACATTTTAATTCTATAATACTTTCTTAGATTTACGCGAATATTTGACATTATAACTAAAACTATATTTTCGGATTAGATAGTTTTATGTAAAATTATTTTATTTCTATTAATTAAAATTAAAGGAAATGAAAGACCGTCAAAATACAGCGATATCTCATGGACCAGTACGTATAAATGCGTATGCAATGTTAATTGTATTCGAAATACAAAATCAAGTCTTCATACCAGTTAATACAAGAGGTTGAAGGTAATAAACTTTAAAATTTAAAAATGCAAAGAAACGTTGTATTGTATGGCATTATATTTTTTTTTAAATTTCAGGATACAAATGCATTTCCTTTATGGAATAGACAAAGGTAGCATAGTGATACAGCAAGAATATCTATATATATAATAAAATTGTAACTAGTCGAATCTGTACATTAAATATTTCTTGGAAAATCTCATTGAAATAGACATTATTATCGATACAGAGTCTGAATCTATAGTTTTTAGAATTTTTGTTTGTCTGTCTGTTACCGCATCACGAGAAAACCACTGGACAAATTTTGACGAAATTTGGTTTGATGATAGGTCATCCATATAGGGTCAACATATAGGATACTTTTTACCGCGGGAAAATATCTCATTTCTGAGAAAAAATACAAAAACTGCATTGTAAGAGTATACTAATATGTAAACCTAAAAATTTGGTTTTTGTTCATATGAACGCGGGCGGAGCCGCGGGCAATGCTAGTAAAGTTAATAAAAACCTAAAATTCATTCCCTGACTTACAGACGGACGCAGACTCCCTTATATAACGAAAGTGAACACTAAGGAAGTTTTGAAAGTTCACACCAAAGAGATCAAATAGGGGATGGAAATTTATAGAAGTTCGTTAAAGAAGTTAGGAACGTTGTAATATCAACATAATCTATTTTTATGTAGTATATTTTCTTTAATAATAAAACTAAACTTGAAACTCCTATAAAGATGTATTGTGTCGTCTTTATTATTAATTTCTTAGTAATAAAAAGGTTAAGTGCACACTTTAATTATTAATATACAATATAAATTTTATGTTATCGTCGTTTTTCATTTATTTTTAAGACGTGGTGTGCGTACTAATTATTAAATAATACAAAAAAGGAATTCGTTGAAAAATAATATATCAATGTGGTGGCAAGTTGGCTGCGACGGTATTTACTTTTTTCACTAACATTCCCTAGCGTACAAGTTTATTTATTCAATTCTCCGTAACATTAATAAACTAAATACACTCGTCCTACTATTTAATATGATTATTCATATCCTTAGAAATTAATGAATTATGTCTCACGTTTATTATAACCGAGACGATGCTATGAGTCATGATTTTATTTAGAAATATAACCTCTTAAAATATTTCTCAAAGTAAAATTATATGACGTACCTACATATCCGATATGACCGTTTACTAGCAAATATTCTCGTATATTTTATACTTTTCTACGGTAAAATAAACACAGATAAATTTATTTAACTGCAAATATTCTGTTACAATATATATAGCCTTCGAATATCAGAATTTATACAGATTTTTTAAGCTACTGTCGTAAAATATGTTTTGCTGTTTAACTAATTTGAAAAATAGCTTCTTAATTAACTCTGACATTGAAAGATAGGACCCGCATTGATGCATGGAAACAATTTGTGTTCTTTGAACAGAAACTTTGTGTACGCCAAAATCTTTATGTATCTAAGACGATCATGTGATAATACAGTGTGCAAATACTCTAAGCCTGCAATGCATAAAGATTTGGTTATCCGTAGGACGTATGAGATACTTTTGGATATATAATAATTTTTTGAACAATATAATTATATAATTTATATAATTAAAAATTTTATAAACCCCCTACGCAAATCAATTGTCATTTAACGATTACACTGGCACTCGTGAAGCACTTAATCGAGTAATCATACGCCAAAATGCCTTACATCATTTTGGAAATGAGCTGATACTCTTACACTGCTGGACCGATATTAACCAAACATAGCTAAGAACCACCGCAAGGAAACTGGCTTTCAAATGAAAAAAACGCATCGAAATCGGTCCATCCGTTTGAGCGCAACGATGCCACAGACAGACACACACAGACAGACATCAATATCAAACTTATAACACCCCTCTTTTTGCGTCGGGGTTTAATGATGAAATAAAGTGTTTAAAACTCCAAGCTCGTAACAATCTATCATAACATTGGCGAAGTAATCTGAGCTCAACTGGCACGCTTTGAAGCCATTAACAACAATTTGAATTGAATTCAATTTATAATAGTTTATATACAAATAATATTTATTAATCACTCTAACGCTTTTACATAATTATTTCCACACATTGTTTCAACTAAAATATCTATACATATAATAAAATTGTAACAAAGTCGAATCTGTACATTAAATATTTTTTGGAAAATCTAATTGAAATAGACATTATTATCGATACAGAGTCCGAATCTATAGTTTTTAGAATTTTTGTCTGTCTTTCTGTCTGCCTGTCTGTTACCGCATCACGAGAAAACCACTGGACAGATTTTGACGAAATTTGGTATGATGATAGCCGGTTATCCGGGTCAACATATAGGATACTTTTTACCGCGGGAAAATATCTCATTTCTGAGAAAAAATACAAAAACTTCATTGTAAAAGTATACTAATATGTAAAGCCTAAGAATTTGGTTTATAGTCATCTGAACGCGGGCGGAGTTGCGGGCAATGCTAGTGAATAAATATTTCGTAAAATCAATTTCCTGTAATAAAAGCAAAACACAAATACAAATATAGAGACGTTTCAAATTTAAAACCTAAGTAGCGTTGGCAACTTTACCCAACTAACCTTCTTGCTCAGTCTGTATACTGGCAACAACTCGGTCCCCGCTCCGCGCGGCGTGCCGGGCCTCCTCCATCTCCCTCGCAGCCGCCGCCAATATGTTGTTAACTGCTGTCTGTGTTGTGGGCATGTCTTCGCGACGCCGTCGACGTATCTCTTCAGCTCGCATCATTGATTGTTGGTACATGTGTATCTGAAAATGTTTATTTATTGTACGGAATACTTGTAAAAAGTTATATCTATACCTACTTATAAATAAAATTGAAGTGTCTGTTTGAAATGTCAAAATAACAACTTTTTACTAATGCACATGAAAGCATATACGGTACTTATAAGAAAAAAAAACAATTATTTTTAAAATTTAAGTTTGTTTGTTCCGACTAATCTCCAAAACGGCTGAACCGATTTTGAAGGGATTTTCACTGGCATATAGCTGATGTTATGAGGAGTAACTTAGACCACTTTTATTTTTGAAAAAGTGTTAGGGCTGCGCGCAAAAAAATTGAAACTTATGAAATAAATAATAAAGAAATAAATAGGCACCAGCGTTAACGTATTAATACTTATTTTTTGGGGGATAGCACCTCTCAGTTAACTGTCTGTTAAGTATTATGTAATCATTTATCATATAAACAATTAGATAACATAATTTATATACACTGATGAAGTATAAGTACATAAATATATAATAGTTATATGTATAATTAATTCGTAACATTTAACCCGTGACTTTCGTTTATATAAAAACAAACTATACTTTATAGAAATACCTACTTATGACGGTGGGTGTATTTTAATTAAAATTCCTTCTCGCTCAGACCGTAATAAGATTTGAAATTAATAATTTATTAATATTAGTAAAAAAAAAGTGATATTATAATATGGTAGCATCAATTCTATACGTTAGAAATATGTTTCTACTAGCAGAACCCGCGGCTTCGTTCGCGCTAAAACTACAAAAAAAACTCTAAAAAAAGTTGTAAGTACATAGTTTCATACAAACTTTCATCCCCTATTTTACTCCCTTAAAGTATGAATTTCGAAAAATGCTAAAACATGTATTTATTTAATTTTATTGAAGAGAATTAGTACCAAGTTTCAAGTAATTCTGATCATTATTTTTTTTGGCTTGTATTATAACGTGTTTTCCCGTGGGAATTAGATATTGTCCCGCGGTAAGCCTATGTCACTCTCCAGCCCTCTAACTATCTTCACACAAAAAATCACGCCAATCCGTCACTTCGTTTCAATGTGAAAGAAGGACAGACAAACAAACACACTTTCACATTTATAATATTAGTATGGATTTGTTATTTTAGAACAAAAGGTTTGTTTTGAACAAACTATTTTACAAAGTATATTTACAATACTGAACACAGCAGGTGCGAAATTAATGAAAAACCCTATATAAAAAGAAAATAATTCAAGGTAATTCATACTATTACAACTTGGAGCATAAAAAACATAGGCTTTATTAAACCGTTAAAAACCGCAGTAAGTATGGATAACCGTTGCGTTACGACTATCGTGAAACAATTTAAGCTCTAAGCTTTTCTTCACCCACTGCCAAACGACTGAATTGATTGAAAGTGATAATGGAAAACTATAACGAAAAAGAAGTACATGTTCTCAATGATAAGTATAATCAGTCAATCTATACATATAATAAAATTGTAACTAAGCCGAATCTGTACATTAAATATTTTTTGTAAAATCTTATTGAAATAAACATTATTATCGATACAGAGGCCGAATCTATAGTTTTTAGATTTTTTGTCTGTCTGTCTGTTTGTTACCGCATCACAGAAAAACCACTGGAGGGATTTTGATGAAATTTGGTATGATGATAGCTGGTTATCCGGGTCAACATATAGGATACTTTTTACCGCGGGAAAATGCTGGTTATCCGGGTCAACATATAGGATACTTTTTACCGCGGGAAAATAACTCATTTTTAAGAAAAAATACTAAAACTGCCATGTAAGAGTATCATAATATGTAAAACTTAAGAATTTGGGTTTTGGTCATCCGAACGCGGGCGGAGCCGCGGACAATGCTAGTTTTTGATATAGTAAGGTAAACTCGATGATGTAAAAAATTTATAGCTTTCTATAATTTCGATTGTGATTTAAAGATATTTGCTGGATAATTTGTATTAGATTCAATAAAGAATTTTTCAAAACATGGATTTCTTTGAAACTTTTAATATATATATAAACAACAACAACAAATTTTTATAGCTTAATATTTTTCCTAAGCGTCCTTCATTTGCCCGAGTGGAAAGTTGCGAGTAGAGCTCCATTTACTATTTGATCCGATATAAAGCAGTGCTGTTGTGTAGTCTGAATGCTAGTATAATGTTATAAATAAAATAAAGTCACGTGTGAAGCCATAAGTAGAAGTTATGTATTATATGAAATATATAACAAAACTAGCAAAATATATTATTGTTATATTTCAGACTATCACTTATTAAAAGCTCGTTTTGTTACTTGTCCCGATGGTATTTTTTTTAATTAAAATTGATATGACGATGATGCTTCCATGAAAGCAGGATACAATGTTTTCTTTTATCTACATTTTATTATATTATAAAATTAATAATGTTAAACGTGCATTTAAATTTTTATTACTAGGTCTTTACAATTGTCAAAATATACACCGTTAGAATTACAAGTAAGCTTTTATATTAAATGGTTTTTTGAGGTCGGTGACCTTAAAATGAAATGACGTAGCATTTTAAACGCCAAATATGTGAAGTTTAGAAGTCGAAACTATTTAACTAATAGAATTATAAATTTAATAACTATTATTATTAAAAATATTAAAATAATGTAATAACTAAGTGTACATTGGTTTTGTATATATATAATATATATTAAGTATATTTGTAATTTTCTTTATTGTAAATAAATTATTATATAAATAATGATTAAATTAATATCAATAGATTTATATAAAACTAGCGGCTCACCCTCGCTTCCCTCGGGTTCACCACTAGGAAAACAAAGAGAAAACTATCCCACGGGAACCGTACGTTTTTCCGGGATACAAAGTAACCTATGTGTTATTCCAGACTATAATCTATCTTTGTGCCAAATTTCATCCAGATCTGTTCAGACGTTCTGGCGTCAAAGAGTAACAAACATCCATACTCACAAACTTTCACATTTATTATATTAAGTATAGACTAGCGACTCACATTCGCTTCGCTCGGGTTCGGCCCTAGGTGATTCTTTACATTGACTTATCTTTTTTATTTATAAACCAATTGAAATAAAACAAATAGGTACTAAATGTTAAGTGAAACTTACCACAATACATTAGCGAAAACCGCAAATCAAATCGTTTAAGCCGTTTCCGAGATTAGCGCGCACTAACGCACAGACAAACAGAGAAAAAATCTAAAAATCATTGTTTTGAGTTCTGTTGCGTTAATAAAGACCCCCAATAATAGTTTTTCTCAAATATCTTCCATGTACAGACAGCGATAAGTCACACTTCTATTATATTGTAAGGTTTCGCTATTTTAATGTATTAATAAAACAGTTATTAATTTATTATACCTACTGGCCAAATTGACGACGTAAATGCACAAATTATGATACCTTTATAAACCAGGCAGTTAAAAATAACGAAAATGGTCAGGCCAAAAAAAAATTAAAAAATATAATAAAAAATAGACAACAATAAATAAACCAAAAACGGGATTGATCAGCGTAGAGGTTGATGGGTGAATGCGATCCGTGATTAACTGGAGCAAAGAAATAAGAAATTGTTGAGAATAAGTGTTTCCTCATAAACTGTAACTAAATCTAGTTAAAATATATATGAAAGTTTTGAAACATGATGCTGGCTTTTCCTGAGATATCCTACAATATGTAATAACCAAGGGATAATTAATATATTACAGTTTTTATTGATAGACTCGTAGACGATATCCATACTAATATTATAAATGTGAAAGTGTGTTTGTTTGTTTCCTTCTTTCACGTCGAAACGGACTGACGGATTGGCGTGATTTTTGGTGTGTAGATAGTTGTTGGAGGGCTGGAGAGTGACATTTACCATGGAAAAACACGTTATAATACAATCGAAAAAAAATATTTATGATCAGAATTACTTGAAATTTAGTATTAATGCTCTTCAATAATATTAAACAAAAACGTGTTTTAGCATTTTTCCAAATTCATTCTATACGGGGGTAAAATAGGGGATGAAAATTTGTATGAAACTACCTTTTTAGATATTTTTTGTAGTTTTAGCGCGAGCGAAGCCGCGGGTTCTGCTAGTAATTTATAAGAAAAGAAATCAAATACATACTTCTAAACTACATATTTTGTAAATTACTTCGCTCGCGTCTAAATTGTATTCGTGGATATTTTCTCTTTAGAAATGGGCCCGTTATTTTATTACGCGAACAATAGATGTAAAACAATGTATAAATTATTCGTTTCGGTACAATTTTTGTAACTAAACTTTTTAAAGCTTCATTTTTATACGTTGCTATAAACCTTTATTTTTGCGAAATGGTATTTTATTATGTTTTAAAAATTATGATCCAATTGCATTATACGGGAAATAAAAAAATATATAATTTGAAGTAATTTCGTTTGAACATCTGAATAATAAAAAAAACTTCATTTAATTTTATTTTGTAACAATTAACAAGAATTTACGAAAAAATAATCACGCCTATTAAATTATATTCTGTTATAACGATACGTTATGTTCATTGAAAAGAACGATATCCATTTTTTTAATCTATACATATCATAAAATTCTGAAAACTAAAAAACATTACATATTTTTTGGAAATTCTTATTTAAATAGTCATTATTATGGATACAGAAGCCGAATCAATAGTTTTTAGAATTTTTGTCTGTCTGTCTGTTGACCTGTCAGGGAACGCATCATTTGATATGATGATAGCTGATTATCAGGGTCAACATTTAGGATACTTTTTTACTGCGGGAAAATATCTCATCTCTGAGAAATGTAAACTAAACTTTAAAACTTAACTAGGGACGATCCCGAGGGGAGCGAGGCTGAGTCACTAGTTTTAAATAATTTATCACTAAGTCACCTTTATAATAGTTATTTAAATAATACAATTGAAGATATTTTGCAAGCAAATATGACATTACATACAATAAAACTATATTTTATTGTTTCAGCATTCATAATAACGTA